CCCATTGTTCCCCAGCTGGGAGCCGCGGGTTCTCGTTCTGTTGATTTCGCTCTCTTTCCGCCATACTCCTCCGCAAAAGAAATGAGCGATTGTCCGGGGGAATCATGATGCAGGCTCGGAGTCTGCCGCGTTATAGACCTTGCTCTTCCGCGTTCGACAGTTTCCGTCGTAGAAGTCGGATGATTGTCGGATCAGAGTCTTCAGGAGCAGAAGCCACGGGCTTATTCACCCCACACTAGCCGTGCAGCGGTTCTGGCGGATGGAAGAAGTCGCGTCCGGTCATGTCGCAAATTAAGAATCATACCATGAGAGTCAAGCTCGAGGGTCCGGGCAGTGATTTAGGATTTCGCATCTTGCAGTGACGTTCGCAGCAAGTCCGCATCATGATTCCGCTTCGTCGATTCCTTCCGTTCCGAGCACCGATGGATACGGTTCTGTTCTCTCCACTGAGGGTAGTGAGGTCAGGATTTCGGAGATCGCGTGGGAAGATCTACCTGAAGAAGAAAAAGAGAACGTTGTGAGGCTCCGCATGACTGTGAGTGAAACAAGAGAGGGTATATGAGATACATATTATGTACTTGACACCAGACCATCGCTCTGTCGCGCGAACTGCCACTCCACGTACTGAATATACCATCGAAGAGAAGGAGACCCTTGAGATCCAGAAGCTTACCTATCTGACGAGACAAATCGTACAGAGAAACCCGGGTTATAATGACTCTTTTCTGCCCTGCATGACAGGGAAATGTAACCAACTTGAGGGAGCGTCTCTACGACGTGACTTGCGCAGCCCTTGGGAGAGTCAAGGGTCAGGGGGTGAAAAAACCTGCCCGGAAGGATGCTTGTACAGAAATGATTGTCGTCCGTGAATTCTCTGATGCCAGCGAGGTCCACGTTCTTGAGTTCGTGCTGCTAAATGGTTCTCACGGTAAGTGATTCCAGCTTCTGGGAGTATCCCACCGCATATGTACTTCACGACAATGTGCAACCCTCAGTATCACGCGGGGAGTTTTATCGGGGGAATCGCATCTTTCCCCTCAATTCGAGTCGTTTTCAGCCGTCAATAGCGGGAGTATTGTAGATCGCGAGGACATACGGCTCAACCTCGCACGAACCCTCCGACTGGTGAGTTAGTTCCTACTACATACGGTCATCAATTCCTCGCGAGCGATCCGAGCGCCAATCAATCTCTATGTTCCAACCGGTGACAACTTCCAGAGCTGGTTTGACCTTTCGAGTGCCGAATTCCCTTCGGCGTTCAACGCCAAGGTGTATTCATTCATCGGAATCATCTTGGCAATAGTTGCCACCGCCTCCCTGGTTTTGCACGCGGACTTGTGTAGGAAACGGATGCGAAATCGGCCGGGCCGGGTGGGTATTATACAAATAACGACGCAAAAAAATTGGAGGTTTTCCTAAGTTGAGACGCTCAATGTCCGAGCCTTCAACGAAAACTGACGACTTCGATCCTGCTCCCGCAGGGTACCGCGTCACCGGAAGATCCACATCAGCTCGGGAGCGGGTAACATATGCCATCCGTTTATTCGGGACTCCATCGCTGACAACGTTGGCGGGATGAGGGGAAACCTTTTTATCTCATGAACCAGTCTGAGAGGGAACCGTTTTTCGCGAGCACTGATCGTGACTGAGTCTCCATTCCAGATTCGTCGATTTGCCGATACACGCAACACCTAGCAGATTTGAACTTATGATTGACGAGTAAGCGCGGGGAACCAGATGATCTCTAGGACAACGACAATACTGGAGGGCCTTCAATAAATTCTACGCTATTAAGCAGCGAAGCTCCGAGAAACATCATTGAAAGATGAGGATGGATGCGCTTACGGCTGGGGATCCTGCTTGACCCGCGTCAACTACCGTGAATTTCCACGTTTCTCGAGGCGACTCTCCATGCTCCATGGAATTCCTGTAGGGTCAGCAGAATATCGTCGAATTCCGGCAAAAATCACCTGCGGGATCGCCAGGCCGGGAAATGGTAACGAAACGAATAAACGACTTTCGTACGGTGATCCGACGATCACGACCAATTCTAAAGAATAGGTTCAGGGAAATTCTTAAGCGAGGATACGAGCAAGCGTCGAATAGCAGTCCACCTGAGGGAGATCGGATCACGGAACTAAGCATTGGAAGATATGCTACTGATAGGCGTCGATAGTTTTGCTTATGAAGCGGCGGCATCGACAATAGCTTCCCGGGGAGAGTCGCTCTCCGCAGCCAAAGATCAGAGGGGACTCCCTACCACCTTCAGTATCGAAACGGATCAGTCTTCTGCTACGAGAGTTAGGTTAAGAATAAATCGGAGATCCGGACGGCTGGGGGAGCTCCCCTCAGGTCAAATCCCCGGGTCATCCCCAATGACGTTTGTTCGCTTTCTCCCGCTTTTTTCGGGAACAATCGCATCCGTCTCGACGACAGATATACGTTGATGACCAATACGATGTGACCATCACTACATATGTATCATCGAAATATGCTGTGAGCAATGGCTCTTGTCTTTCAGAGAGGCCATATCCCGGAATAGGTTTGACCCCATCTCAAAGCTCAAAATCGGCCAAGAGAGCTCGGACTTGGAAGAAGAACACATACAGTGATGGATTCCAGAGGCTCGGAAGCACACTGAATCTCTCGCCCTCACTATATTTTTTATTATTCTGCTCGGGCGCCTCAGTCATTCGAGCGCCGGACGGCATTTTGCTTTCAGGAATCCATTGGAGTGACATTTGCCGGAGGCGGTGATCCCCGATGCGGTCGGTCGAGGGCGCCTGATGCATGGAAGCGATGCGGAGGATCGTGATGCCGGTGGTGATGGCCACCGTGACCATCACAAGGACTAATCGAGCTCGGAGTCGTATCAGGAATAGGCGCCGTAGAGCCAGGCGTGCTCTCGTTCTGACTCCATGCTACGCCCGAGCATAAGAGGAACACCAAAGCTGTAAGGAGGTTTCCGTCAGGATCTTCATCTCGCATCTGAGAGCTCACGAGCCCTAATAAGATTCGAGTCGCTTACCCAAGGTTGACGCCATTCCACTGCGTTTCGACTGAATTAGAGGTGGCTGTGTCTCACTTTCTCGGCGGCAACTCTCTTTTATTCGGGCCAATCGAGAGGGAGAACTACGGTGGCGATACTTCCCTGCAAATTATTCTAGGACTTTCCGCCAACGCAAACTTTGGCACGCATGCGCAATCTCAGATGGGGCATACGCTCTAAGTTTGCTCAAAATTGCTCATCACAGTTGTTGCACTGCAGGGAGTGACTCAATGATTTTTTTCACGCCAGACAGATTCACCGATACGGCGAGAAACTTATTCCACGAGGGAGCCTCTATGTAGGCAGTAAGTTGCCGGTTCTTCCGACTCTGATTCAGATACCGAATATTCATGACTTTCCGCGACAGTCCATCGCTCCGAAAGATATCCGATTACTCTGAGATCCATCTTGAGAAAGAGCCATGACAAGAATGAGCTAACTTCTCTAGGCAGTTTTCGGATTGTCGCTGTGAGATCGTGCGTTTCACTGTGGGTCCTGTTTACTTCCGAATTTGTCCGCAGTCGGAAATGATCTCGAGAAATTGAGACTTTAATCGCTCCTCCCTCATCGAATCCTACTAGGACTAATGGTTTGAAATATGCTTCGATGCCCAAGTCAGGCAAAGTCTAGAATCTAGACTATTGATCATTGCCCGAGCCCTTTGAATCAGACTACTGGTTGAGTGCAACCATCTCGATTATTACCTACCAAAAACCCAGGAAAGGGGTTGTACCCTCTCTGCGTCCTCATATTGAAGGGAACTGAACCCTAGCCGATAATGATGCTATAATCAGGAGCATATCCGATGACGAATCTGCGACCGGATCACTATATTCGGCCTCTCGTGAGAAGCATCCTAGTCCTCGGGACTTGTCGGCTCCGACATTAGATCTGCCGCTCGATCAAGCTGTGCTTCCCAAGATCCTCGATCTTCACGACCTTGAGGGATCTGGTTCCTTAAGCCACGGGCGAAGCCGTGGAACACCGGCGCTCCGGCCACAGCTCGTTCCTGAAGTGATGGTCGGGAATTTCCCCTGGGCATCGCTTGTGGAGCACATATGCGAACTCCCTGCAGATAAGTCGTGGAAATGAACTACCGTCATGAGTCATGGCTCAGCACGTGAACTGATGCTCTCGTCGCGTAGGTTGGATGGACTGATGCGTGGATGAGCTCGATTTTACACGGGTAGTGTGTCCGCGTAGCTCTCATTCCTCCGGTGAGAAGTGTAGGCTAGTGTAGCAGGCTGAATGGGTGTCGGAAGGCGCGGGTCTCTGAGGGTTACCATATGGTAACTTCCTCGTTTCCACCACAGTGACGGCGGGGGAGGGTACCAGCGTTGTCGACGTTGCTTCCTCATGGTGCAATCCCGACTTACCTTGAAGCTGCCTAGAGAAGCCTCTACTCCCCGACGAGAAACATCGGCCGGCCTCGGGCATTGAACCCGGCACCCCCTGTCGATGGCAGCGTCAACATAGCGCCCGAAATTTTCACTCGGGGCATAGTATGTGTGAGAGGAGAACCCTTCACCGGACGGGCGATTCGTTTGGCAAATCCCCCATATACGGAGAGAATGTCATCCAGAAACTATCCTTGCTTCTCGCAAGTTATGCCCAGTGTTTGCCTAGACCCACCAAGTTTGATCACATCGCTCGCTCCTTCTGAGAGTCCCTCCAGAACAGGTATCGACTTGTCCCACCAAGTTCTTCACTGGCAGCGTTTCGGGAGCGACACATCCAAATGCGATCGGGGCAGAAGGGATCCTTGGGGAAGAAATATTTTCTCCGTTTGGTGTTTGTCCTGATGCTCCGGCTCCCCCACTACCGTTCTGCACGGGACCGGATACGAGGGGAAGGGGAGCGGGGATCCTCGAGTTACCATCTCGGTCTGGGAGCTTCTTGACCAAAAGAATGAGTCGGAACGCATTCACAGATCGAAAGCTCCCTCGCCGAAAACGATTACCGAGTAGCTCAATAGAAGGTATCAGGTTAGTTCAATAAAAATATTCTACGATCCTTCCTTCCATGATTTGTTTTGAAAGCGAAAACAACCCTACGTCAGCTTCGATCCCATCCGCTCCAGACGATAAAATCATGGGATTCCGTTTGCAACACTCGAAACGGATCCCTCGAATAATAGAGCTCGCCTTATTGAGTCTTGTCTTCTCAGAGTTTTTTGGTCCAGTCATGCTGAAGGCTCGATGAGTAATAGGCGTCGAGCCGAAATGCGAGCCGATATCCGAAGACTTGGGCGAGGCCCTGAATTCTGAGCCGACATAGCTCCCCCAACTAGGAGGCTGCAAGCTGCACCAGCCGTGGTAATCTCGCCCCTTGAAATACGTGATTCGGAGTAAGCAAATCAAGTTCAGAATCCAAATCTTCACAGGGTTTCCCCGTCATCGCGATTTCGGCTCCAACCGGAGTCCCGGCTTGAGACTCATTGAGAACTCATTCCCACACAGAAAAAAATCGGTGCCTTCCTTGCGAATCTCACGAGCAGTCACTCAAAGTCAGATATTCTCTCATTCTAAAGCACGTTCGTTTCGTCTTTCTCCCGTATCTCTGCCCTTCAATGGAATCTATCAGCACCATTCGTGCGTGTAGCCTCGGCAACTCCTGACCTCGCGTGAGCTCTACTGCATCTCTCATTCACCGCCCGGAAATCTGTAGAAATCGGTCGTATATCGGAGGAGTGAAAAACTCTCGCCCCTACCAAAGAAATCGACTCGGGCCTGAGCGTCACCAGACCCTGTTTTCACAGAGAATTCTAATTTTGAATATAGACTTGAACTCAGTCAGTTCATGAGCTCCACTGAATCACCCAGTATGCTTCGGGACTCCGGACTTGTCACTCGAGACAGATCACTATCCGAAGGGGGTGCTCTAGACCTCTGGAGTACAGGACCCGCGGCGATAAGTCCGATTTTCCCTGCAGTTCAGGCATGTGAAGAGCTCCTATTCATGCATTATAGAAATCTCCTATATTTATTCAATTATATCCGCTCTCTGCATTGCTGCTCTCGCAATCATTCCTATTCTTTAGAACATCTATGTATACGTCTTTATACATGATTTTACACTGACTGACTAAATATAAGACCTTCTTTACATCTGACTACGTGGGGAAAAACCGCACGCATTTTGACCGCAGCGTACGAGGCTTCCTCTCGAGCTTCAAGCTCAAGGTATTATTATTGTTTGTGGGTGGCGTCGTTTGCTTTTGGAGATGATTACAATCATTTAGTTCTCGACTCAGCGCTTCCATGCATTTTTCCGCCAGGTACCTGAAGAGAAATTCGCATCAGCTTCTATTCTCGACGGGAAGATGGGTCAATAACGGTGCAGATTGGTACATATCCTGTAGGGGGTATACTGATTGTTTACTCTGTATTATGGAATGCCTCACCTGAAAGCCTCGTCGACGTTGAAGTCTTGCTTGGCAGAAGTCCGATACAGTCGAAGACGATGTCTTCGAGCCGCGTTCTCGGCCATTTCTGGGCTAACGAGCGCCTGATCCGCCAGGTCCATCTTGTTCTGAACTAGCACCATGGGTAGACTGCCGCATTCAGCTTCCACCTGTGGCGAAGATTCTCGATAATTATTTCTCCCGATTCCGACGCTTGTGAGAGGGAGCCGTTTCCGGACGAGCGGATACCGGGGTAAATATCTTTTCGGGATGATTGCGAGATAGTTCTCGATAGAGGAGCTTCTCTCATTGTTTAATACATGGCCCCGCATTAATTGCTCCACACTGTATGCTACATGATGGCTAACGTCAATTATTTATTATCTACCAATCTATCAATGTATGGCGAGGTAGAGCCTGAAGCTACGAGGAAGTTCGGCATCAGGTCGTCGTCGGTTTCCCTCATTTCACGCTTCGCAGCTAAAGCCGCCAAATAATTGTTGGTTCGGAATGAAGCCCGATCGCTAGTGCTGTTTCGATGATTTCTTCTGCCGGAGGCAAAATGTATAAGCGACTTTTTCGCGCCCACACTGTCTTGCCGATCAGTCCAGCTGTCTTCTTGTCCGTCGTCGGTGTTCCGATCGGGTCTGATTTTCGGACAGCCAAACGAATGCTGGCTCTCCGGCTGACTGTCGGACCGACAGTGACCGACGGATCGACCGCTAGGCCGTGCGTACGTCCGTCGGCCGGTCCGACGGAGCAGCATTTGAACGCCGGCATTCCCGTGAGCAGCAATGGCTGTTGTTACGCTGGCTGCATTGATTTAGTTGGAAGACGACAAGTTGAGAAATCAGGGCATGGAAGAACAGTCACCGGCAAGCTCGTGGGCGTCAGACGTGGCGCCCCCGAAACGGCAGGTCAAGGTCCCGTGGCGCTATGCACCCTGAACGACAGCCTAGTTTGTGCACTATGCGCCAGATAACTAAGTGACTACCCTTCATTGCCTCTCCGTGAGAGATAGAACCTTAGATCAACGAGAAAATCCGCCAAATTATCATCCAACTCAGGTTGATCTATTTGTCCATATCTCGATGAATGACGAATCAACCGCACAGACATGTCTACGTACCTTACTCCGCCAAGAGTCAACCGCCTCGAAGGACTGCAAATCTGTGGAACTGAACGCTAGAATCGCTCCATGAGCTCCTCGGTAATACGCTCGAGTCAATGCATCGAATTCTTCTTGACCCGCCGTGTCCCAAACCATCAATCTCACGCACCGACCGTTGCCGATTTCTAGCACTCGTTCTAGAAAATCCACACCTGCGAAGGAAGACTCGTATGTTAAGCAGTGTTGAGCGAGGACAATTATTCTTCCTCTGCCGTCACGTTCCGAAAAGTCATATATGTATGTCTCTCTGTGGTCAGAAATCTAACGACAGTCTTGGCTTTCGACGCTCGAAACTCGTGAGCGGACCTTCTCATTGGCTCAAGAGTCCTAACCGGGTATTCGTATATCAGTCTCTACAACTCTGGTTCAGTATGCTCTGAAAGTCTCAGGAGTTACACCGTCAAAAGGACGGAGGCGCGAGTCGAACTCCTGAGTAATTCGATTAGCGTCCGCGACATCCACAATCGATCGGGATCGGTATCCTCTCCCTCTCTGGCTCGCGCCCGCATAAAAAAGTGTCGCATGCTTATAATAAGCATAAAAATATCATCAATTTCATCCTGCGGAATAGATGATGATTGAGCGATTCAATTCGTCTGACGTCGGTTCAAAGTCGCCGGTTGTGGAACTTCACATACTCCGGCTCCCGGAATGCGACGACACAGTCAGAGAATAACAATTATCCTCGGATTCGCGAATTCCGTCGCTCGAACGAGCTGCTCAACGATCGGCCCCAGAGAAGAGCGAAGATGAGCGAAGAAGTACAGCCAGATTTCAAACATTTCTAATGGCTTACAAGAGGAAGAGCCATTCTTCCCCAAACGAACCTCAACAAGCCGCCTCGTTTCCACACGAGCGCTCTGACTCTGACGCTGCATTTCTGAACGGAATCTTTGCTACCACCGTTTCCGACGCCGCATCGCGGCTCATACTACTATAGCGACCACGCCACTATTCAAACAGTAGTTCACATCAATGTGGAAACCGTCTCTAGACCCTCGGTCTTTGGTAGGAGGAATTAGTTCACCAAGTTAAAGAAGGATTCTCGTTTCTGTTCTTCTATGTTCGAGCCACTTCAGAAATGTTTCACACGCTTCTGCAATAAATCGTGAGATCGTGCATAATTTCCCGGCATTCCGGTTATTTCATTCGTGGGTTGTCTATTCTGAGAGAGGTCTCAGCATAGCCTCAAAAGTAGGGTCTGTTTTTACTGGAGACTCTACGCTGCCGGCAGAGATCCCGTGAAAGAATGGAAATCTGACGCTCCGGTGAAGGGGGTGGCAATATCGAGTTTCTCACTACTCTAGCTTCGCGGCGCCACGTCTGTTGCCGACGTTTGCGTCTGCTGCGGGCTTGAGTTCAGATACTTTTTTCGAGAAAAAGAACGGTACGGCACTCTGGAAAACTTTTCTGCCATGCGTGGAACAAAGAGCTTAGTCGCCGACCATTATATCCTCACAAAGGATCAGTCGTTTGACAACCAACACAAGCTGGAAAGAGAGGAGGACAGCCAAGAAAAAACGGTGGATTTCTCGCCACAAAAAAAAGAGTTCAGAAAGAAGTTCTAACGTTGTCATCGGCGGGATAAAGCCGCCAATGTCGGCCGCCAACGACGTGATCTTCTAAACTACATGAATCGGTCTGTTGCAGCAGGAGGCGGGCGGAAACCAGTGGGCGCGAATCGTAAACATGAATTCTCCTCGAGAACATGAAATAGAGAGGAACTCTTTTTTTCCCTCAGTCAGTCAGAGCAATGGAGGGGCTCCTCTTTGGAGTGAAATTGTGGGAACTTCCCGATTTCCCACTGCCTTCCCGCCGCTGATCTGGCTCCTGCTTCGGAATTCTCGCGGTGGTCACCGAATGAATTCAAACGGAGCGGAACTCTAGATTTCTTGCGGTCTTGTTGAATCACTGCTCGTGTATGCTCGGTGAAGTGAGCGAGATTGTCGTGTCGAGCAACGAGCCTCGTTGGCTCGAGCCCCATCCCTTGAGCCGGCGTTCACAGCTTTGTTCCAGAACAAAGTAGATCACTTGCGGTTTGTTAGATTGAAATGCTCTGGAGCGTCCCTATCGCCGTCGCGGCGAACGTGTCCGTCACATGACCGCCGGAGCGTTGTTTCGCGGCCAGTGAAACTCAGACGTCGCGTCGACTTGCGGATCGTTGTGTTGATGGATGGATCAGAATCGATCGTAGGCTACCCCAGGACCTCCTGGTGGAACTCGCCCGGATTCAGACCGATTACGGTTTTGAAAATCTTCCAGAACCCGTTTCTTGATGAATAATCACGGAGCGTATCTCTATCTCACCGATGCACACTAGAGGGTCCCAGCGTTCGAAGAAGCGGCCTTCCCCGTCGTGACTCGGTCTTGATGCGGATCAAGGGAATACGTGGTTATGAATTTTCGGGAGCGGTATCCTGACGGCCCTCCATCGAATTGGCCGAAGGTATGGCAACAGGCTCGTTGGAGAAGTCACCCCATGGCGACCCATTGATTTTAGGATACGTAATTGGATAAGAGACCGGTAGGGAACAACGGATTCCGCAATATCTTTTCAATCCGAAACCGTGAGAAAATAGACAAGGTTTTCTCCTGAGTCAGATGGAGGACCACCATTACGGATCCGGGACGGGGAGCCCGGGGGTTGCCGGAAACCGATCAGAAATCGAACAATCGATGGGAATGCCTTATCGGATCGCCCCGACTGTCTCTTACTCAGGATTACCGAGTCTTGGGACGTAGAGCGATCGAGGGGACTTCCAGCCGCTGCGGCGACATCCCACGCACTCTTCATTTCCACCCATTTTTCATATACGGTCGGCCACATGTCCCTCACTCGTGCCGGCGCGAGCCGGCAAGACTGATCGAATTTCACTACAGGCGGCCCGGAGCGCAGATCCGATGTCCCGATACATTCAGAGATACTTCGGTGCGGAGGCCCGCTCAGACTTCGACCAAATCGCAGCATTTATCATCCCTTCCAAGCTTCGGTCAAACAATGAGGAATATCGATGAAACTCGAGAAAAGACCCGGTTGACTTGATTCACGAACAGATGAAGATGAGCAGACCCGTGGACGAGTCTTTCAAAAAACGTGTGTGAAGGCTCATTGAGATGCATCGAGCGTAGCGGAACGTCCCGTAGAACGAAGCGGTCAAATTCGATTCTCCTAATGAATCTCGTGCCGTCGAATTCAAAGCGATTGTTGGAATTATTCGTGCAAGCTCTGGGATTCGGTCAGCGGCCAATTCAAACACCATACAGGGTTTTGTGGATGATTCCCATCCGGCTAGATTCTTGCCGAGTCATCTCGATGGATGCTGTCCTAACGATCCTGAATCCACTGGAGATCCGTGCTGTACCGCGTTGACTAAATCGGATCTGTATCCATAACATATCGGAACGATCCCGATTCTCAGCTCCTCCCGACTCCAAGTCAGGAATGCAGCAGCGAAGTTGTGGAACCGTGACTCCGATTTCCATGCCGGAAACACATCATGGTACGATCGGGCTCGGAACCTGTACCTTAATTGGGGCTACGAATGGATTTTCTCGGAGTAACATGGACTGCTTTGACTCTTTCGACGATAAGTTTCGGGTGTCTGTGTGGAGACTCCGGAGGAAAATATGCAATGAGGAGGTGGAACTTTTCTGCGCGATCGTACACGCGACGGAAGCGTCGCAACCAATTCTGCTTCGGTCTCCGGCAATGTTTCAAGCGGAGTAGCAGGAAATAGCCACCTCGTCCAGACGAGATAATTACAGCGCATCCGACCCAATAAGCGACGGATAAGCCGACCACTCTACATGGACAAAGCGCTCCCCCAGGAACAGGTGTCTTCTGCTGAGCAGCTGTCACGTCCGGAGATCCGGATCCGAGCCGCGCGTGCCCCCTCTGACATGGCGTCAGATCAGTGCGCTAAGCCAGGGGAGGACCGACAATCGACAGAGCCTCAGATAAGCGAGCGGTAGGAATTACTCGGTTCCGACGATCGCCACCGATGAGAGGTAGCGTCCTTGAGGTTTGCGAGGGATCTTCTGGCGAGATCTTCGAGGACTTGAGACTCATCCTGAGCGAGGGAGCGATTGCACATTTCCCATATCCACGAATCGCTTCAGAACGAACGCGGCCGTTCGCTGCTATCCGGTCTCTCGAGATTCCCCTGATATCTCCTGGAATCAAGTCGATTCCATAGGATTTGATCGTTCGTCATGGATATCAATATATCCATGCGTCTGCTTGTCCCTTCGGCTTAACAGAGCGGTCGACGATAACCATCTGACGTCGAACGACATTGGTGACGATCGAGGAGAGAAAAGGCTGAATTCCTCTCAGACAATAAGCATATCACAGCAATGACGGCGTCGGTAGCTTCCACCGGCGATTTCTGGTTCAATGCACGCCATCCTAGATCCAGGCTGTTGCCGAAAATGCCTCGCTTGGCGTGAGCGGGAAAATCTGATGGATGGATCGCTTGCCGGTAACCGTCCTGGCGAGGAGTCACTGTGAGTAATAGTAAGTTACACGCGCGGCCCGCATGATCATCTTTTCCTTCTAGAGTCTCGCCTAATTGAGCGAGCACCCACGGTGGCCGCCGCGCCGTGAGCGGTTGTTACCGTCGATGGTAATCGTGCACGATGCCTGCGGTCCTCACAGATGTCGGCGTGAAGCGACGTGTGGAGCAAAAAACTCACAGGGAAAATCACAGAAAAAAAAGAACTTTTTTGACAGCTACGCGCTCTTGTCCGCTTTGTTGACCGGGTCCATTATCGACGATCCGACAATCTTCGCCTTCAAGTCATCGGAATGCGGCGCTTTACAGCTCTCTCCGTAGCATGCCAAGTGAAGGTGTTCTCTCTTTTACACTCGTCCAATCATGATGTTTCCTTAGATTCCGTAAATCTTTCGGATAGTCGTCTTCTTCTCGATAATCAAACAAACAAACATCGCTTCTTGCAACTGTGTTTGGATAAAGTCGAAGCAAGATATTTTGATGCTGCTTTCCGATTGAGCAGCAGCGGTGGTGGTCGCAACCAAAACAAGTGGGCTTCTCATTTTCCCAGGAAGCGTTGACAAGGAAGCCCAAGGTAAGGAGAAGTCCCTTTGTTTGGCTCTGCTCCTCGAAGACATCGATAGACAAAGCGAAGATGCGTGGCGTCGAAATCACTCTCGCAGATACTACTGCTTGTGCAGCTGCTGCTGCTGCTGCTACAACAACATGGACTACTAGTAAGCGACTGAGAAGATCACGACAACGCAAATGACGTATGGTAGACAGCTCTAATGCAACGTTGTTATTACGCTGTAGCCCTCGGTGGTTTGTTGATCTACGATTTTGAATAGCGTCATTGTGGCCGAGTGAGGCAATACGAGCTTCGACATCGATTTAAGATTTCGTACTATAGGAGCGAAGTTTCTTATTTTCATTATGTCTCCATCGATGGACATGGAGCCAGCCGCCGCGCATACCTACACACCGGATCAAAGGTTCGACCAAATCCAGGATTCAAAGAGATCTAGGATTGAAGACGATAAGGATAAAGCTCGGCTCTCGATATCTTCGGCAGTGGATCCCGGGGACGTTCCTAGGGGAGATTCTGATGCCAGCTCCTCCGGGAAGACACAAATCCCGAAACGTGAATTTCTAGCACGGATTCTCCTCGACTCAGTCCTTGGTACGGAGAGACTTTGGGCTAGACTCGGAATCATTCTTCGTCTCCATTCGACGCAATGCTTGGACGGAATACTTCGAGCGAGAAGTCTTGCGAGCGCGGGCGGCCACTCAGTCAGTTTAGGCATCGAAGAGCCATCGACTTTTAGAAATGTCGTGTGAATCGGTGAATAAATCGCAAAAACGACGAGAATCTGTTTTCAACGAAGACATTTGGAAGATTTCCGAATCTTTAGAGCTCACATCGCATTGAAAAGTGAGCGACGTGGGCACCCGACCGCGGTGCGGTTTCGTGGATAGTGATCGCGGGAGATGGCTCGTTCACGAGGCTCGCCAATTTGCATGTTGACAACCTGGCCGACGCCTCAATCACCAGACGCAACTCTTGACGCTCACGCATTCTGCAGTGCTAACAAGTGGTTTGCTCTCGGGCCGAGTGAGTGGCTGGTCGGTGGGTCGGCCCGTGGTCCGATCGGCCGGTCGGCGCGTTCGAATATGTCCACTAAACGCATAACGGAGAATCCAAAGTTTCGCCGTGATGGATGGGGTCGTGAATTTTGATGATGTTTTTTTCGGTCTAACGTCAGTAGGGTCCGTTCTCGTGGGTCGTTAAGGACGTCAGAAAACCAAATGGTTGCCGTGGCCGACACTACGTTCTCCCACTTCCTTCCTTGAGCGAAAACAAGAATAGATTTTCGGCGTTCCTACCACTCGGAAGAGATCGGGAATTCCGGAGTTTCGGATTCTGCCTGCGCGCGCCCAACTCCATAGGTCGAGTCTACCTAACCGCCTGGCACGTGAGTAACGGACGGTGGATGGAGGCTTGCACAAAAGGCGTCGACAGCCCCAAACAATGTATTGTCGGCCTTTGACAAGTGCGGCGGGTTGTCGTGTCGCCCGTCGAACTCCAGCGCTCGTCGACGATGCCGCGCCGACGCGCCGTCGATATATCTGTCAGAATATTGACACTGCGAAATTGAGCCCTAAATTTCCTCTAAGTCCTTTGGGAAATCCCCCTGTTTCCTTCTGGAGTATCCTTATTTTACCGCGGTCCGCGACCAATCCAGTTGATCAGCGAAGACTGGACGTTCTCCCGCTACCGTCCGATCTCCGTACAACAGAGATTTATCATGAAGAAGTCTGTCGGCCAGAGCCTGAACACCGCGAAGATCATGTGTCCATCCTCGATATTCGAGAAAGAGCTGAGACATATCCGACTCTAAGGAGTCCGAGTGCCGTCCGACTCCCTTGCCTCCAGAAGCACACTCACCGATGGTTTGCTTATAGTTCTGGGAGAAGACTCCTCTGCAGAAGCGCTGTATGAGAGAACTTTTGCCTACAGCACCGTTGCCCACCACGACGAGCTTGAAGGCCAGCTCGTCGGCCATCCTTCTTTTATACCACTTCTGCACGGCGAAGCTCAATCGGCACCTCCGAGACACACGAACCAAAATTTCCAGCACCACACACAGACTGAAGCTGTGTACCACACACGGGATCTGCTATCGAACTGACCGAATAGGCGAGCAGCCAGCCTGCTTGCTTTGCCGCTATCCTCAGACGCACAACCGGTTTCGTCACGGAAACTCACGCTAACTTCTGAACGCACCGCCGAAACCGAAGTGCCGAAATCGTCCGCCTGGCGGCGAAGAGCGTCTTCCTCGCCGAGGGAAGGCTTTTCGGCTCGCGATACCCGCCATCTGAGCTGATCGGACTTGTCACAGTAGTTCGTGAGCTTTAGGTGAAACGAAATTATTAAATGAATCCTATCGAATCGAGACCTATCGAATGCGGGGACGAACTTCTACGGCATTGCCAGTTCGTTCTTTCAAATGCGGAGGTTTACGAATTATTCTCTAGGATATCTTTCCGGGATACGCGGAATGCTCCAGACCATATCTTCCCTTGCTGTACAGAGATCTGAGCGAAGATCAACCGGTCCCGGAACCTCCCGGTGTTCTCGAGGACTTAATGCCCGCCTTCCCGAGCCATCCCGTCCTCCCTGCCGTCATCAGGGTGGAATGAGAACGATTCTCGACACGGAACGTCTCGCCGTCGGATGAGAACTCACACTGAAGTGCTCAGCTCAGAGGAGAGCTCTCGAGTCCCGAAGCTGCCCCCGTCGGAATTCTGCGCGGAGTAGCCCTAGCTCACGTCTGAAGTATGAAGCAATCTCTGCAGGACATGCCAACGATGTACTATCAAGAACGATTGACTCGGAGCTCTCCGCGTTTGTCGAGGAATGCGTAGCTCCTCCTCCGAGCCCGATCCTCGTGACTACTCTCCGGTATCGCCGCGGGATACCCCACGGTGGCGTCGGATGTCGTTTCGATATTCCCGACGTCGAGTGATTCATGCGGAATCAGAGCCTGCGCGGAGCAGGTTGCACTCTCGTCCGCCCCATTCGGCTATGTGCGGTGCTCAGCAGAGATCACAGTCATCATCATCAAAATAAACTGCCGGCGTCGATGATCAGTGTTGTTGACGTGCTTCGATCGTGCGACTCTCGAAGCCTTCCGATTTCCAGAGCCCTCGACGTTCCCGTCGAGTCATGTCGGTGAGTACCCCCGCCCCCCTGAGGAGCGTTCGGGACGTCGGATCGACGTGGAGTGATGCTAGACTTCCCCAGCGGCCTCGCTCATCCGCGATCGGTGTTCCCTTTGAAGATACACGCATTCGTTATTGTCTCTCGAAAAACTCTATTCGCAATGTTTTTACGGCGGGATCAGTTCGAACGAGTCCCGCCGCTTGATGGAATCCCGTGGGTCTCGAAGTTGCCGATTCCTTCGTCATTCAGATGTGCGAGGAAGTTGGCGCTCTTTTCTGCGTCGATTCGCGTCTTCCGTGTTCGGAGTCTTCCATTCATGAGTAGTATTACTTCATCGCGGTTCCGCTACAAGAACTTATTGTTACAGGACACGGAGCGTTTCCGGGCGTCAGAAAAGCGCCTGGAAGACAATCCGTATGATATCGAAGCTTGGTCAGTTCTCGTGAGAGACGCTCAGGCGAGAAAAATCGAGGACGCCCGAGAAATCTACGAAAAACTTGTGACCACATTCCCCAACACAGGCCGATATTGGAAGGTCTACATAGAGCATGAGCTCAAGGCGCGATGCTTCGATCGCGTGGAGAAGCTATTCACAAGATGTCTGATAAAGGTTCGTTTCCCGAGCATCTCCGACCATCAAGAGAGTGACGGGAGGGTTTCTATACCGCCAATCGCTCAACTACGTATCGATCGTCGAGCTGATCCGTTAGAGAACACTCTTCGGCATGAGGAGAAAGATCGCGAAGTGAACATGGACACCGCTATCTTGGCAGGTGTTGAACATGGATCTATGGAAGTGCTACCTGGCCTACGTTAAAGAAACGAAAGCTTCCCTACCGTCCTACCGAGAAAAGATGGCCCAAGCCTATGACTTCACCCTTGATAAGATGGGCATGGACGTCACGTCGTACTCCGTTTGGAACGATTACGTCAACTTTCTGAAGAGCGTTGATGCGGTCGGAAGCTACGCAGAGAACCAGCGAATTACAGCTGTGAGAAAAGTCTATCAGAAAGGAGTACACAACCCGATGACCAACATCGAACAACTCTGGAAGGACTACGTGACCTACGAGCAGAACATAAATCCGCTCATAGCGGAAAAAATGATCGCGGATAGGAGTCGCGACTACATGAACGCACGGCGAGTCTCCAAGGAGTATGGTGACAACTCCCGTGGTATCAACAAAAACATGCCTTCGGTACCCCCACAGGTGAGCGCTAGGGCTTTTGCATTTTCGTGGAATCCACAGTCGATCCCGAGCCAGGGGAACTCGAGAACCCGACGACGACGTGAGGAATGAGTTGTCGGTAAATTTTTTCCAGGGGAACCCCGAAGAGATGCGACAGCTCGAACAATGGAAGAAACTGATCGCCTGGGAGAAGTCGAATCCTCTCCGCAGTGAAGACACGTCGCTTGTCACCAGGAGAGTTATGTTTGCTTACGAGCAATGTTTATTGTGCTTGGGCCATCATGCGGACATTTGGTTGCAAGCTGCGCAATTCCTCGACGAAAGGTATACCGTTGTGCTAATCCTCCGCTCGATCGATCTCTCTGATCATTGATTGCACAATGCCATTGCGAAGCCAGTCGCAACCGTATGGAAGCGAAAATCTGACTATGCCCTCTCGGGGTCCTCGACAAGCGATTATCCGCTCCACTTCGAAGATTTGTTCGAAGAATGAAATCAATCAAATAAATCAAATCCGCAGATCTCGAGACGCTGCCGACCGAGGGGATCCAACGCTTGCGAAGCAGTACGCAGAAGATGCGGCTCAGATGTACGAGAGAGCCGTCAGTGGTCTCCTGTCTAAATGTCAACTGCTTTACTTCGCCTATGCTGACTTTGAGGAAGGGCGGAACAATCACGAAAAAGTTCACACCATATACAACCGTCTGATCGAGATCCAAGACGTAGATCCAACACTGGCGTACGTTCAGTATCTGAAATTCGCACGTCGAGCGGAAGGCATCAAGAGCGCGAGGCAGGTTTTCAAGAAAGCAAGAGAAGATGATCGTTCGAACCACCACGTGTATGTGGCAGCAGCGCTCATGGAATACAATTGCAGCAAGGTGGGTTCCGACGGTCTGACTATTTTCTGATCGCGAGCTGTTCCTTCGAGCCCGCGGAGACTTGACCATTACTAAGAATTTTTTATCCTTTCAGGACACTACTATCGCGGTAAAGATATTCGAGCTCGGCTTGAAAAAGTATGGGGGCAATTCAGATTATGTTCTCGCCTACATAGATTACCTTTCTCACCAAAACGGTAAGCGCGCGGAGCAATAATTCGGTGCTCGGAAATGGTCGTGTGCTCTGATCTGCGGCATCGTCAAATGCGCCTGTCTCACGGTGAATATCATTATTATCGTTTTCAGACGATTCCAATACTCGAGTCCTTTTTGAGAGAGTTCTGAATTCCGGTCAACTCTCGGCCGAGAAGTCGCTCGACATTTGGAATAAGTTCCTCGAGTTCGAATCTCAAATAGGAGATCTCACGTCGATATTGAAGGTCGAAAAGAGAAGAGCGGCTGCCATCGAGAAGCTCAAAGAGTTCGAAGGGAAGGAAACTGCTTTATTAGTCGATCGGTATCGATTCCTCGAAATGGTGCCTTGTTCACCGGCCGAACTTGTCACGATGGGATATCGAGAACTCCTGATGAAGAATAAAACGTCTCTCATTGGAGGGCTAGCTAACAACGTCATGATGGAAGCAAATGCCGAGTCGAAGTCTAAGCTGTTCGAACCGAACGTTCTGCACATGATTCCATTCAAGCCCAAGCAGGTGAGACCGCGGACGTTGGATTTGATATAGGAATTAGCTGCTGAAGCTCGTCGATCCTACTGTAGGAGGAGTGAATATATATTTTCTGAAGACTAACTCTTCCTCATCCATCCTCAGTCGTACCCGAATGGAGCTCATCCCGTACCGGGCGGTGTTTTCCCGGCACCCCCAGCTGCGTCCGAGCTGATGGTTCGCCTGCCCCCGCCGAGCTCTTTCAACGGTCCATTCGTTGCCGTTGATAAACTCATGGATATATTCATGACGATGACCCTCCCGAACAAATTGCCAGAACCTGACGGCGCTCAAAGCGGTAAGTCTGCAAACCGAATACTACGCGAGCTCCGTAGTTTTTTTGTACTCTCTTGGAGATTTTCTCCCGCGGATCGCTCGGGTCCGATTGGACGTGCTTGTGGAAACTTTTCTCCGATTCTCGCAGGTCTGAGCTTGAAGATTTTCGAGCATGTGCTGAAACCCGTCGACTTCGGTCATGGTCAGAAGAGACTCCGCACCGGAGACAACTCCGACTCGGAGAATGAAGAGAACGGTTACCCCATACAGCCGGCGAATGACATCTACCGAGCCCGTCAACAACGGAAGGTGCAGCAGCAGCAATTGAGATGAGCAGCGATCGAAGATAGTCAAGGCATCATGTATCCATCTTTAAGTTAACGAGTAATATCGAAACACACATTGTGACCGAGCACGGACTTCCTCCGTCAGAGATGACGGTCGAAGACGTACAGTGAAGTGTTGTAAATAAATTAGCCCAAGTTGTAAGCTGTGTCTCATTCTCTGCTTGACGCTGCTTGATAAGACTCGGAAAGTCAGCGTCTACTCGAGGAGTGGACTCTGTCAGAAGTTTCTCTCCACCCTCGGACACAGCGCGTCAGGGACCGCCTTTCCGCCCGTGAAGTTTTTTTCCGGGAACTCCAAATGGTCAGGTGGCGATGTTTCAGCGAAGGCGCCCGTGGAATGGATGGATGCCTTACACCAAGGATCCTTCAGAAGAAGAAATAAATGACTCACATGATGGCTCGGACGTTCGATATTCCCATCTCTCATTGAGGGGGCCGAGAACTCTGTGCCGCTGCCGATGCCCGTCGCTTTCGACCAAGGGCGGAAAATCCGGAGAAAAATCGGATCCATGAACATCGACTCTATGCGGTTCCGATATGTGACAGGGATCGATCAGACGAGCCAGAAAAAAATGAGCTTCCCCAGAGTTCCGTACTTCAGAGATTCAGTTTATTCTCAATCTGATGCGCGGCAGCCAAATACATCGGATCGCGGAATTTGTCAAATTATCATAATACACATCAGAGATTGGGGGCGAGCTGAGCAGGGCCGATATTTACTCCTGTCCCTCGTCCACCGTCTTTTCGACTTTCTTGGATTTGGGCTTGCGTCCGCGTTTCTTGCTACCCTTAGGGCGTCCACGGGGTTTTTTGGCGGCAGAAGCATCAGAAGACGACTGAAAATTATCTTCGGAAATGAGCTTCGATTCCTTTTGGCGCCTAATCGGAGATTCCTATCGTATCAGATCGGCAGAAAGATTCGCTTGGAACACTTGATTAAGCTGAGATGAGACCATGAATTTATCAGCGAAAAGGAAACTCGACGGAAAATTCTACGATTCGGAACACTCACCGCCTTGCGTTTGACGGCTGCCTTCGTCTCGGTTTCGGGCTTCTTCGGCCTTCCCCTGCGCTTCTTATCTCCAGCAGCGCTTCCTCCTTCGCCGTCAGACATTTTCTGAAATGTTCCAAATGTTCCAATCATTTTCCAGATCGAAATCTTTCCACAGGAAAATTCGTTCGAGTCGTGGAGATTTTTCTCCCACACAAATCCATACAGTTCGCTCGGTGGGAGCACCGAGGAATTGAGTTTTGGCGACAGCGGTCCGCCATTTTCCTTCGAGCTATCTTTCGATTTTTGGTGCGGTTTCTACAATTTTTTGCCAAGTCACTCAACGGAATCATCAAAAACCGTTACCGATCGGCTAACTCGACGACTATTGTCACTTCGTTCCGTGGCCTACAGGTCTGGGAAAAAAAAGGATTTCTAGGCCTACCGCCTATCGCCAAACGTCAGGTTGCATCGCTTCGGGCGCGATCTTGGAGACGGATAAATTTTTCAATGCGCTCCCGCTTGTCAAGATGGATCAGGAGGGACCTCGCAGTCGTCTCGAAAATTAATCTCGCAGGCAGAAGGCTGAAAACCACCGAAATTGAAAAAACATCACTCCACTCACCGCTGTTCCTCGCAGAGCCAAGAATCAGAGTGGAGTCGCTCGAGTTGCGAGAGTCCGGGTCCACCTTTTCGCTCTCTTGGGCCCTGCTGCAGCGCTCCTCTAGGTTGAGGCTATGGGTCCGCCTGCCGGCTTGTTCACTGGCTCAGTCGGTCGGTCGCCCGCTCGCGAGCTCTCTTTCCCCTGATTTACAACAACGACGAGGACGAAGACGAGAACGACGACCGGCGACTCATGCTCGGTGGGAAGGGATGAATCTTGCACCTCACGCTCTCAGCTCTTAGCATCCTGAGTTGCTCCTGTCCAGAGACTGTGCACTCGTATCATCGTAGTCTTCACCCGCTTCTCGTAACGGTCATAGCAACCTCTGAGCTCATTCGGCATACGCGAAGAAACTTCCTCTCTCTCTCCCTACTTGGGAGCCTGAGATTCTCGCCCCTATCGCCAGTACCCATGTCATCGCGTCGTTTTTTTGCCTCTGCGAGGAACTCTCCAGATCAGATTGCCTCTCGGTTTTAAGCCATTCCCAAGTTGGAAAGGGGGAAGAGATCGCAGAAGAAGATGAGTATATACGAAATAATTTTCCGGAGGTTCCTCCAGAGCTGGATTTCATGTGTGCTGGTCGAAAGTCCGACCGGGGGACCAGAAGTAGCGCGGAGGATGTGTATTCTAGAGTTCCATAATTTTCGTTCGTTTTCATTAGTCTTGTAGTCGAGCCCGATGGTATGAAGTCCTTAAGGCAAACTCGTCGCACGCATACCCAAGAAAACCTGGCGGGCGCTCCAAGACCCAATCCGAGTCGAAGCCGGCGGATGGACCGCGAGAGGCGCGGACGCTTCCCCGTTCCCCGAGCTCTAAAGACTGGGATTTCGCGGATTATATCCGAAGATGGATCGTATACCTGGACAGAAATCGCAGCTCCCCAACTGGACCCAGAAGCAATAATCGGGGCACAGATCCGCAATCGCTCAGATTTCACTCGTGGTATTCTCCATTCGTGCCAGAGTAAGCACGAAGCTCATCGCTTCGGTGACAGGAGCCGACATTCTGCTGAAGCCCGAGCGATCCGCGGCAGCAATACTCTGCAGAATCATGTCTCCCTCACTCCTCTCCGCAGGGGGAGGCGAATGGACGAGGAAGCGGGGAGAGAGGGCGTATCGATCGACCGGAATCGCTGGGGTGGGGTGAAAGGATTATCAGCCCAAAGTAGAGAGAACCTCATTGACCAGTGATAGAGGACACATCCAGTCCGCTAGGTTCTCTCTGAGGCATTAAGGAATCGAGCAAGACGTTAGGAACATTCCGCGACTGGAAAGAAACTCTCGCCACCGCTTCCGATCCCGAAGCATTGCCTGATCGCTTCGCACACTTCGTATCCTATCGAAGACGAATGACTTCACCCGTTCTTACTTATTATTAGAGCGGGATCGGGATATGGACTGCGAAGCAAAAAAATATTCGATTCTTGTCAAGGTTATGCACCCCCCGAAACAGAATACAAAGTATAGTTCAGATTTTCTCATACAATTTATTTGGCAGTGCCGACACGATTATTGTACAGATGTATAGAGGTGGGCGAGACGTTGACAGCTCGTGGGTTCTACAATGCTCGGAGTAGTTAGCGTTGCTTCCACATATGACTGCTCGCGGGTGGCGGATGCTTAGAAATATAAATAATCGAATCAGCAGGTTACAGAATCGGACGTTTGTCTTACGGAAGATTGAACGGTGGTCAGATGAAAAGATAATTATTGACGATGGAACTGAAGCTTCCGACGGACGCTCGTGTACCAGATGTAACCTAAAGTCTCGTCAGCGAACTCGCATTAATTCGCGGTTGCTGATAAAATTTGTCAAACTAAATTATGGATCACAGAAGATGAGTCCCCGGTATTCAGAGTTTCTCCGGCGAGAATTCTTATTACACGGGAAATTCACCTCGCTAGTGTACCGTTAGATATATCCATAGTAACTGTTCTGTAGAATCTTATCGTGATTCTTGTAAAGATTATCGACGAGCCATTCATGAGAGAAATTGCCAGATAAGCCGCCGTATTCTTCGGGGAGAATTTCTCTGGGTATGAATTTGTGAAGAGAAGCCAGATCGTTCCCATGCAGATGGAATCGCCGTTTCTGCTTGTCTTTGAGGAGTGGCCGCGCGAAGTTGTACATCACGGCCCAAAGAGTTGTGTTGTGCAGAACGTGGATTCCCTTGAATCTCACCGGGTATCCATCTTGCAGAGCCATCACCAGGGCCTAATGAAAATACATAAAATGAAAAGCCAATGTGAGCGAATATCAGACATATGATCCTTGACTCCCTCAACCGCCATCCTTTTCTCCGCCGCGGATTACATGCGATCCGCGAAACGAATGAGACCCACGCTGCGACTACAGCATGGGCCAATGGCGAAGCATGTATTTTCCCGGAATGCTGACTCACCCTTATCGCTGAATACGGCAGATATCTCACGTGAGAGTAGTGCATACTCTTCAAGTCGATGATGAAGCGCACACCATTCACTTGCACCTGGGGATCTTCGAGGGAGAATTCGCCCGCCATCGCCGTGGGCGTGAAAATGTCTCTCAGATCTAAACCGGTCTCCGGGCACCAATTTCCCAGTCTCCAAATCACTGTAGTTGTCCCGTCCAGGGGATTCAGTCGCTCGAGAAGCGTTCCCACTTGGAGTTTGAACGCTTCCGCATAATCCTTCGGACCTTTGCCTTTCGGCATGAAGCGTTCCGGGTCCACGAGACGAATCCTGAAGTAACGCTTGTACGTACTTACAGCCCGGTCCAGGTCGAACTTCTTGGCACGTAGGAACCTCAACAGGAACTCGTCATCGGTTCTGGGTTTGAAGTCTTTGATTTCCATCACAATCTCTTTGAATTCCTGCAAACATTTCTCTCTCCGCTCCGGAGTTTCACCAAGCTCCTCTACTGCGCGTTCCTGCCAACCAGGAACTTCGTCGAAGATCCGCATGCTAGAAGTCCACGATGTCTTGTGGCGGAGCTGGTGTGAGCGCCGCCGGCTCGAACCATGAGCTTCACTTCCCACAGAATCACGGCCCCAGTTTACACTTGACCCTGCTAAGACAAGGTGAAAGTGCGTTTTTCGACGGATGCAAACAAAAACTCAATTGTATCGCGCTTCTTCATGTCACTGACTGCACACGCCCAAGGTCAGGCTCGATGAAACTCCAGAAAAAGCCGCACCATGATTCTCGTCGTAATTATGGTCTTTTAACTGTCGTGAAGCTCTTTTCACTGAAAAGCATGCAGTCCGACTGGTGGAAGGAACCCGTGCGGCTAATTGTTGTCATCGTAGCTGAGAAAATTGATTACGAAAGTTCTGCGGCTTCCTCAAACTGTTCCCCGAATAGCCATATACTGTTCTTTAATTAGCGCATTGCGCGGGTCAAGACGTCATTGTGCGCAGTCAGCGCCCCCGAAAGGGTGTTGGGGATAATGTGCGATCAGTGGGAAGGGTAAGCTACGCGGGTGCTCATTCGAGGGATCCTTAAGACATCGATTTCCGTGCCGGGTCCGGGAATACGAAGTCCTAGCTCATTGGAGGGGCATTTGGGCCTTCAGGGGAACTCCAGTGGGAGCCGTGTCTGCCTTCTGGAAAGGTCAAAATACCGGAATAGATGCAGCCGAGAATAAAGTTTTCCTTATGGTCTTCTGTAGATATCCGATATTGCGGCATTCCTCCTGAGAGGTTCGGGGTAGCAACCTGAATTTCGGGGACAGCGAAGGGATGGATGGAATGTCGCGGTGCAAATGTTTTAGCATGAGAACCACGAATCTCTGTCAGCAGAAGGCGGGCACCAACTTCCAATGCTCAATCCGAACTCTCTGGAGGGAAGAAGGGGATCGCGGTTCTACAGTGCGACGATCAGAGGGTAGGGCTGCTCAAATATGGCAGTCGGTGGATCCCTATCGGAGCCCACCGGCATTTAGAGAAAGTCCCCATTTCTGCTCGGGCGAGTCTCGGAGTGTGGGTCTCGAGTCTCGCACCTCGGCCGACATCAAGCTCAACGCCTCGGAATGCGGCCTAGAAATTCGAGGAGTATCTCACCACCTTGAGGATGGAAAATAGAGGTGAACCATGAGTCGATGAGGCTTGAGGGAGGTAGATGGGGAATGGGGAAAGGTGAATGCCGCTTGCTTACGAAAGATGCGAGACTCTGCAGCTTTCTTCGGAACTGCACGGCGTGCACGGAAGCGCGGCCAAGTAAATGGAAAGGATCAAATCGTCAAGCCAATGGGGGAAGGGCACCTCGAGGGCTCGGCTGCCCTTGTGATCTGTTGCAAGAAGTTTTGTGAATGATATATGTACCTAATCTTGAGAGAAAATCGCAAAAGCTGGGCGGGTCGCATGGCTCATTTCAATTTCTGCGAACACTCATCCAAGGAAGAGGCGTGAGATCGGCAGGATCGTAATTTTTTTCTGCTGGCCGCTAACACGAGACTCTCTCCTGGCGAGACGCTCGGCGACTCATTGCCACTTAAGTAGATATCGCGGACTGCTGCTACAGCCCTCCACTGAAATCAGGTCGAAGTGAACCCTTGATCTCCAAGAAGGGGAATTCCCCACGAATTCTATATCGTCGATGGTCGACTCCAGAAGGTAAATAGGTGACATAAATCGCCTATCCTGTCGGTCAGATCTGAGGAGGAGGCAACCATCTTAATTGTGTCCAGAGAGTTTTCCGGGAAGCATTTTAACAGGACCTGCCTCGTGGCAGCCATTCTCCTTGATCCCTCTCTCTGTTAGGCAATTGCAGATATGGGCCGGGATGAATCGGAGACCCGAAGCCCAGTACTTGTCCGATCTCCCATTAGCACAACGCCTGAGTATTTCAATCAAAGGGCACGGCGTCGTATCCTAGTTGTGTTCAAGGCTAATCACAGATTTTACGGCTTTTTCCTGCGAAGCACAACGAATATCGGCTGAGCTGAACGTCTCCGGTCGTAAAGAGAAAAAAAATCATCCAGCGCATTGTCTTTGGAGCAGGAAAACGCTAAGGGCAGCGACCTTGTTGCTCGGGTCCAACTCAGTCAGAAAAGCTATTCTCATTTCCCTGCCAGAAAACTTCTGAAAACTAAACTATCTGTCGGGGTTAGCCTGCGGTGACGAGCATGGACTTTCGTTGAATGCTCCGGTTGGCTCATTCAACCCCTTCCCCCCCGACTCCGTATTCCAGATTTCACTTCCTAAATTCAGGTTCTGACCGATGCGGGAAGTCTCGCGAACATCAGCGATACGCTTGCCATAGAGGATCTCCTGAGCATAATCTCATGTTCTGCTCCGTTGCGTGATTTCTCCGGAGATATGTCTCGCTTCATCCCTATCGCCTTTGAGCAATGACCCAGTGATCGCGCGATCGAATCGACCCCAAGCACGGGACCGTCACCAAACTCCTTGAAATCATCCATGAGAGCGGTCGGCACAGCAGCACAAATTTCGAAGCGGTTCGACCAGCTCGATTGCATGAAAGTGCTTTCCCTCTCTCTGGCCGATAGCGAATGCTCGATAGCCTTAGACGGCCCGAGATGATGTTTCGAGAGAACGGGTGGCGATCCTCTCAAGTTTTCCGTCGGTTCGGGGCGCTCTTCCTGACTCGTCTATTCGATTGGAAGCGAGCACCGATAATATTCACAGGGAATCGACGCAATGAAGGTGCGCGTCAATCTTACGTCATCGCTAGCTTCGATATCGCACGCTCTGAAGGACTTGACGGTTCCGCTCTTGAAGCGATAAGAGTTCAAAAGCCATTCACTCCAACAGATTCGTCTCCGGGCGCACTGCGATTTCGACTGCATTGTGGAATTATGTAGACTCGACAGCTGCTACTCTCAGTCATTTCTCACGGGAGCGGAAAACATCTGCGAAAATGTTCGACTTCGGAGAGAAGGGGCCAGGCGACGGGGGCTCTCACGGGAGACCACGCCAAGAAATGAAAACATCTCAAATTCGACCACCCCAGTGGCTCCGCTTATGCAAGCGGCATATCGACTGATTTGAATGGAGAAAACATTTTTCACATGAACTTCAACCGCTTCGCTCGTCACCTCGACCCCCGATCTTCCGAGTTCCACTTCGCGGTACAGACCCCAGAATTTTTTCCGGTCTTTCGGTTGAGGAGCCGACCTTAGCTCGGGATGGTGGAATCGGATCACAGGCAGTCACTGACTAAAATAGCTCCACGATGACGTCTTCGAACGTTATGCAGACGACATGGCTCTTGACTTTTGAACGTTTCCGGTCGATGCTTCGGGGCTCGGAAATTCCTCCCATACTGGCATTCGGTATCCAGAAATGGCTCACTTCTCGTGATTCACATGACTCATTGCGAATCAGGCGCAATGGACGACTCTCTCGACGCCCGAGAGAAATTGGCATGCATTCTCCGATCGTTCCTTCTGAATTAATCGTCAGAATTGACTTCAGATCAACGGGGGTTGGAGTTCAATATCGTTCCAAAAAAGCTCGACGCCACGACGAGGAGATATATGTATACGTATATGACACCGGGATCGGTTCCACGTAATCGCGCGTAGTAAAACAACCACAGGGTCGGAACACCAGGATCCAGCCGAATGATCATCGCGCTCAACGTGAAACCCTCTTAGGAAGTCGCGGAAAGGGGCGCTCGTAGCTTATCATGCGATGCTGTTTGCATTCCGAGCAAACGCCGAAAGTGCCGACAATGTTTGAGAGTCGAACACGTGGCGCCAGTCGTTTCGACTCGCTAGGTTCATGGGTTCCCCATCGAACGGTTATTTTCTCCTTCGCCCCGAACATCTTCACACTATCTCATTCCATCTCGCTGACTGAAAGCTCTCAAAGATTCTTGAGAACGCTCGGAGGGCTAGAACGAGGGAGTTCTTCTCGAGCCATGGCTCGATTAGAATTCACAATGAAATGCATGATTCCCACTCGACGGGACCTTGTTTCGACGGAACAATGCATCGCGACGGGAACAAAAGGAGGTACCTGGGAAAGGAATAATAATTTATGTCCACTCGTAGAACTATAGACTCCGATAATCTTATCTGCAATAGTTCCTAGTGTGTTTTTACACAGCGGCTGTAAACTGCCTTCGAGAGCAGTTCTACCAACTCCGTCACGACAAGCGCAACCACCACGAGCGAAGTTACTTCGCACGCCTTGCTCTCGCACTCCCTTATTCATCGCAACTCTTGGCTATAGCGGCCGTATAGTCGTAGCTCTCCTCATTCTCCTTGGAGCATCTCCGAGGAAATATTCGGAAGGAACGAAGATTGCCTTTCGTCTCGACGGTATACCAGCTGTGTCCAATCTTCGTAGGTACGTAGTTTCGTCGATGATGGTTAGCTGAGTAAGCGCGCGACACTCAGCCCCACGCGGGAAGGTGAGTGGGTAGAAGAGATGAAGATGATTCTTGTCTTCGAAGAGGGCGGTTCTTGTCCAAATCCTGCCCTCCCGCCCGGCTAGCTCTCTCTAAACAATTTCTGGGGCGCCCCTAAGACTCTTGTTGTTGACCGTTGGGTATCAACACTTGAGATAACGTCCTATCGCTCACCATACCGTTAAAGAAATGACTTTCGTTTACGGCCAGTCTTCGACCAGCCGCCGAGTTGTCATCATCGCTCCACAGCTCCACGAACTCCGAGCATTCGCCACCTACACTTTGTCACTCACTCGTCGATTCTCGTGCCGCCAGTTCAGAACTCCGATGCGGAGCTTGGGGAAAAACGTCCCGCTGTCCAATCAAGTGTCTCATTCTGCTCATGAATTGTGTGTCTGCTCGGGATTCGGAGCCGTGGTCTTTCGGTGTTATTTGGTGAACCGCAGTTTCGTCCAGTTGGAAAGTAGTGTCTGCCAGTTCGCTCTGCCTGCCAGATCTACCCCTTCCAGCTAGATGAGCTGAAAATCGTCGTCAGCGAGATCCGCTTATTCGTTCGTCCTACAATAATTAGTGGTGACTTGTCCTCTTTTTCGGTTCCGAGCATATCTACCCCGATCAGTGACTCTCGCGTGAGACGCCCGTGGAGAGTCCCAAATCCCTACCTTTTCCCCTTCTCCCCGCTTCGGCACCATCAGTCAAGAAGATCACATCAAGGGCAAAATGCAAATAGAGAAATAGGGTCTTCCATGAATTCGTAACTGAGAGATTCAACTTCTCTATTTGTGTGTAAGCTCCATATCATCGCCGGAGTGATCTCGGAGGAGTATACGCCCTTCGGCCCATCAGCAGAGTGAAGTCCTCGATGTTGAATATTTCACGAAAATGCGACCTCTCCTACCCTTCGCCACTAGTGCACGTTCCTCGCACAACCTGTTGTTGGCCCAGATCCTTCCTCCCAGCGAGTGGTTCATGCCTCGACTTAATTTTGGAATGCAATCAAGTGAACCCCGTGAGAGTCGCATCGCAGCCAGAGCTATCGAGCGATCCGTACCATTTTTTACATACGTATAAGCAATATAACCAGCGAGCCGAGATAATGGCCATGCCGTGGATCAACAATCCCTTGAATTTGTTTGCTGCGAATGACTCGACCGTTCTCTTCTTCTTGCTTGGTGCAGTTCTCCTGGGTGAGTGGGAGTTCCTCCCGTCTAGTGAAATCTGAGTGCGCGGAACGCTGCTGACCCAACTGGAAGAATGAATGGGTTCAAGCCATCTCGGCATGCATGAGGCTAAGCGAATATCAGGGAGAAGTTAGACCGAGTGTATGTCTAACGTCTAAGTTTCGGGATGATTTCCTCTGGGGAAAGTGGCGCACGTGGCAGACTTCTATCCATTCCGTACTTGTACTCTCATCCCCTCTTTCGCGACAGCTTCCTAGGGCAACAAATAATCGCCAGCAATTAGCAATGAAAAAATTGCTTTTCTGCCATCCCTATCCGGCAACTTACAGTAATCTCCCTTTCTTAATGGCAGTGTTCATCATGTGCTGCTTACTCAATTGTTTGAAGTACCGAATCCCTAGGACAAAGCAGGAAATCCAGCTCCGTCTCCACAAGACAACGCTGACCAAGGATTTCCGAAGATATTTAAACATGCTCACCGTGACCACAGAAACTACGTTCGATGACGGTAATGTGCGGGTCGGATGATCCTGTGACTCGAATTAGGAGCCATTTCACCCCTTTCTTCGGCGCTTGTGCCAATCACCGGTATTTTTCTGATTTTTCCGCGAGAACCCCACCACAGACGAGGAATTCCATCGAAATTCGGCAATCTCTCAATACCGCGAGCGAGCCATCACCTTGTGTACGGGGATCCCGTGCATAGAGCTTTTTCAATCCGAGCGATCTAGCTCCCGTCCTTTCAGTCTTAGAGCTCTTCGAGCTGACGATCGTCCAATGACCCAGTCTGTTCATCATCACAAAAACTCCCTTACGCAATCGATCTGCCTTTGAAATCGCTCCAGCTCATCCGTAGCCAGAATTCAATCGACGGATGGTCAGGCTGACGCGTCTCATTCTTCCAGCACTGAGCCGAGTTCAGGTACTGAGGGATGCGGACCTCAACGGGTTCGAGCGTAAAGTATCGTTACGTCCAACGTCCCAGCCCGACGTTAACAAGGGTCTGAAAGACCAGTGTTTGACTCTCAGCATGCCCGAAATCTGCCAGGCGGGACAGAACAACGTATGTACGGGCATGTTCGAGTGCTTGCTAAGCCCTGCAAGGAGTGCTCCAACGAGTCCTGCTTAGAGATAGTGATTAAGCCGCGAACGGATACTGGATACGAGATCCTTGCAGATAACTTTACTCCCTCTGGACATCTCGGTCGTCAAAGAAATACTCCAGCATCAGCATCAAGAACTCGCTACGAATAATTCGAATCAACACAGGCCAGCGCCGAAACCTATCCCAGATGGAGAACATGAAACGGAGCAGCTATAGGCGAGGGTCTTCGATCGGACGAGCGCGCCACCTTTTTCTGGCCGGTGATCATTATCATCTTCTGCGATCAACGTAGTCCAGATCGCGCACCATACGGGAAGAATCGATCTCTCGGAGGAGAGAATGGAGCTTTTATGATGCGATCGCTGCGCATGGGAGCTGTTCTGCGAAGGGATGGCATGTCGAAAAAAATCAGGCCCATGGGAGTCTCCCCTTGAATCAGGACCTAATGAGACTTCTCTGCGCCACAGTTCTCTCGAGGACTTTTTCCGTTCACCTCCGCAGTCCAGAGCCAGGAACATCCATACGGAAGATGGATCTCAGACCTTGCGGGTATGATGGTGCCTGGGTGACCTGCAGCGCATCGCGCGGAACGATTATACTTCTGAGGCATTATTTTCCCATCAACTTATTTTCGCTATCCACCAACGCTCTGGTCGTAAGTTCCCTGCGGGTGGCACCACTTGGCGAGAAATCGCCAAGAGACCGTCTCCAGGCGATCCCGCTATTCCGAGGCGTGCTTCGTCACTCGTTCGTTGATTTCGAAGATAATCGTTCTAGTCCAGCAACTTCCTTTCGCGCTCCAAGTACGGAAACTCCGTGGGGTGAGAAGAATGGATGAAATGAGCTGGTAGAGATCGTGTCCATGGATGAGCCGAGATAGTAGATCGAGCGCGTTGTGCACAAAGTCTGCTTGAACATAAGAAATGGAAAGGCTAATCAGCGGACAGCATTCGCAATGCACCCGGAAGCAGAAGAAATAAATTTCGACTTGGATTGAACAATTCGCCTCTTTCAACTTCAGAGATTTCTTCAGACATCCTCCCCTCGCGCTGGAGTGCAAGCGGAAAGCGATGAGGAGTGAACTGCTCAGTCTGTATGATCCTCCCAGAACACAGAATGACTTGATCTTAGTATGGAGCTCATGGCTCCGATATGGGAGGATTCTAATCTTGAATGTCCTTGCGGTGCTCCCGGATCTCCGGGGAATCGCTTTCCACGTGGGGACACCGATGGATCAGGCCTGAGCTGACTGGGAGCAAGAGGATATCCGGGTCGGTGCGGTCACATGCGCAAAAGTTGCTAGTCTCTGAGCAACAACCGGATTCTTCCTCCGAGGACCGAGGCTTGTCCCCCCGTGATTCCTATTCCGCTGGTAAGAAACTTGCCAGAGACCACTCGGGCCATGGTCGACCGAACTCCGGCGCCCGACCATCACGTACCCGCCCACTGAATGAGGCTCATGGACGTGAGCTCGAAGGGAAAAAGTGGTGAGGGGGAAAAGCGCCAGTCTTGAAGCGTGTCTCTCTCTGAGAGGGAGGCTTTGTCTCTGCGCGGAGACAGCTAAAGTAGGACGTCTCCGCAGAGGAATCCGCCGAATCGATCATCCGAAAATCGGCCAACCATTTTTCGGCGACTTCCCTCCCGAGGACAACCATGGTATTTCGGCCCGTTTTGTCGGTCAATTCGATTATTTGGTCGTAGAAGGCCGGTTTCGATGGCGCCGATCCAGCAGGCTCCACTGCAACTGTCAGGGTACCGACCTCAAGGAATACAGGTTTCTAAATGGGCTCTGAGATATTTGCCGCACCTGGCGCGGCTCAGAGGTCGCCAGGTCCCGAGGGAGGCAGCGAGATGTCAATATTTTGATTTTCTGATAGAGACTGGCTCAGATATTCGTTGATATCTCCTGTTGTAGTCAGGTTTCAGAAGTACAAATTTTCGAGAAATGAGAGCTGCGAGGGGCTACTGTACGCTGCCTGCTCGATGTGGCCCAGAGTTTGGCAAACTCTCCAAATCGCAACCTCCAAGTGGAATCCTGCCTCACTCGGGCGCCCTGGTCCTTTGTTGCAGACTGAGCGAAGCCACATTAACTCCGGAGTCCCGATTGGGAAGAAGATGGAAGTTCAAAATCCCGAGAGACGGACTCGGCTAGCGAGGTAGAACAGGTTCTATCGAATCTCGGAGGAGAGTCACTGGACTCCCCTCTTTTATTTCACAGCTCGTTCACTCTCAATATATTACACACATTCGCGCTCCCAAGTTAAAAAAACGTAATTAATCCAATAAATCAAACGCCGCGATCACTGGCCCTCTGGGTTGCCAGCGCCGGATATCAGCAAGAATATGACTAGGGGCACTATGTACATCCAATACTTCGCGAAAAAGTTTCTGTTATCCTGTCCCTGAGTCTTCTCACGCTCGCGACGTTCGTGGTCCATGCGTTGAATATACGTTGCCGTTTCCGGCTGAGGAGCCAGTTGCATGATGTCAACAATCACCTGTTCGCGACCCGCAGGAAGAAAAGTGACTCCTTCGAGGAACCCGGAGGGGTCCAAAGAGAGCTGGAAGAAAATACGAACGCTCGAATACGCGCGGTTTTCAATTGATGAATGCGAGTGATTCCCGAATATCGCATATAATGCCATCATAACAATCCTATCAGGAATCGCCGATTGCGGACCGAGATTTTCATGCTCTCCGTACGGAGGCTGTCTGAGTGGTCTAGACGAAATACCTTCAGAGTTTGCTGGAGAGGATCTGCGTGGTAGGTATAAGCTATAACATGATGTCCTGTCGAGGTGTCCACGGCCTTCAATTGATAGCGTTTTCCGGAGAGCGCGAGGTTGTCTACCTTCCTCCGCTCTTCGGGTGTCAGCTGATTCGATTCGATGGAAATCATCGCCTGGGAAGGGAAAGTTTTGGGATTCCCATGCAAGACACATGTATGGAAAAGTGTGTAAGCGGTCTGTATGCGCCTCGGGCACGCATATCCGTGAGTCTAGCAAAGCTGAGCTTTCGCATCCATGGCCAACCGCCAATCGTCTCCACTGGGAGTTCTTCACGGGAGAATTCCCAAATGGAGATCCATCATTGGTCGTCCTGCTATAGGGACATTCCCTGAGGGTTTCGCTCGATTTCCGAGTTATTTCTCGCAGATGCTCTCACCTTCGAAGCAGTTCTGTTCGAAGGATTGTGCGTCAACGCATCGACAGTGACTTTCGCTCGTGCCATCCAAATAGGTTCGGATCCTTCGAGCTCGAACGAGTGGAAAAGAGCGAACACCGGCCTTATGTCTTGCGTCTCGGAACATGATACTAGAAGCCCGAAAACGGCGATGAACTTGATCATCTTGACGCCGATTCCTCCCGATGTCGTATTGTCAAAACAGTCGTTCGCCGACTTGGACGGATCCCAAAACGTTCGAAATCGACACACGCATGGCGGCTAAGCTTCAGAATGGGATATTCCGAATAAACTCCTGGAGCCTACCCAAATCGCGATAGCCGAAGCTTCTCTCCTCGAGCATGGCTAGAAAAGCAATATACATGAGACAACCTGAGGCTCCGTTCGGGGAGCGTGGTAAGTATCCGGAATCTGGAATTGGAAGGGAGCAGGAACCGTTGGTGGGGGGGGGGACGAGGGGCTGGAAGAACTTCCTCCGTGTTGATGATCTTTGCTGAAAACTTTATTGCGACCAGGCGCTGCTCCACTTCATCCCGGAGAATTTTACCCGAAGGGTGATGCCTAGACCTCGACTTTCGATGCTCGCAGAGAAGCTAGCAATGGTATTGAAACATGCACTGAAAACCCTTAGGATGTGTTTCGACAGCAAGCGAAATGACCCGAATGGAGCCGTGGGAATGTCAAGAGTATTCAGCCAACTCTCGTAATGAGCCAAAGTTTGACTTGGGAATTTCCGGAGGTTGGACGATGCCTGCGATCTGCAATCGAGCTAGAGTGTATTATTTGAATGAATGCTTTTCCTTCGTCAAAGAGTGACAGAATGTGCGAATTCCTCTCTATGGGCGCGTCAGGCTCCCATCGCAGGCTCCCATCCAGAGAATGGACCCAAAGGCGTCAAGGGCACCATCGGCTCGACCTTTTAAAGGTTACCCCACGAAACACTCGAGTGTCCCCCCGCCCCCCGATCCAGAGCCATTACTGAGTTGCGAAAATTGATCTCGGTCGATCCCAGCGTAGATTCGCGGTCTGCAGGCGCTCGCAACCCCTCTCCGAGCCCCATCATCCTCTTGTGAGATCGGTGGGGTTCTCGTTGGCATCACGAACCCGTCGGAAGCGCTCGGAGGGTCCGATGCAAGAAATCCAATTAAACTCTGAGCCTCGGTGCTCGGTTGTCTAATCTTCAGAGAGGCTTTCTGTACCCTCTCAACCATAATTTAAAACCTCTTGCATCTCTCGATTCATCTACACAAGTCGAGAGCATTGTCTTGAAGAAACATCACTTCTCGAATCAAAAATTTCCGAAATGCAGCTCTTGAGTATCGTTTTGTTCGTGCTGGCTCTCACAAAGCCAGCAACCTGTGAATCGTTGTGGAAGGAAATCTCTTCGGAAGCCACCCGAGTCTGGAAGCATGTATTCTCTTCCAGTGTGCGACCGAACTACGGTGTGAGCGACACGCGCGCACACTTCCTGGACCTCCCGATTTTCCCGTCAGCAATCAACGACGATCCACCATCGGGGAAACCTTTCGGCGACACATTCCCCACGCCAATGAAGGAGGAACAGATCTCAAGAGATCCAACCCCCGCCGGGAGGACAATCGGATCCCGACCTGAATCGCTGCCCGAAGTCAAGTTCGATTCTGAAGCGGAGCCGGGTCAGGGAGAACCACGTCAGTCTAATGAAACGTCTGACTTCTCCAAAACGGAGGTTCCTGCGGAAGACGTTTTTTTTCTTTCAAATGCGTTTCACGGGTCGTCGTCCGCGTCCTTTCGCTCTTCGTGTTCTTGCTGCTTTGGTTCTCGGCGATCTGCTGCTGCGTAGCTCTCGCTTCGATAGTATTTACTGTCTTTCTGTTCTTCCGAGACGGCGACTTCAAACGCTCCGTGGCTGGGGTAGCATCGGGTAAAGTCAAAGAGTGTGTGCTCGATCTCGGGACCGTGAAAACGGGAGCTCCCAGCAGCGATGATTGGAAGAGCTGGCTTCGGAATTCAATCAAGAGACTCTCCGACCCTTCAAAGGCGACTGAGGTGGAAGGTGCTGAGGTCGTTTAATGCACCGTTCTCACCAATATTCAGAGGCACGGTTACAGGATCGGGAACGCATCACTTTCGGCTTGGATGGACAGGAAATAAATCATGTAAAGTTCGAGATTGATTCTTTTCTTCGGCGAGGAAGCGGGAAACGGTCGACGCATCGAGTCGTCTGTCAAGAGTTCCCAAAGGAGGAGCGTTTGCGAGAACACTCTTGTGTACATCTATCGTATGACTATTGTAAGAGCTGCATTATCTCGTCCCCCCTCCTCATGGTCGTCGTTCATGCAACGCAATCCGAGGCTCGGCGCGACCCTACAGTGCAGCCGGGTAACTTTGTCGCGAAGGGATGCGGAGGCGACGTCAGGCTACGCGACGTATCGTACGGGAATCCTTCGAGGGACCGAAGTGGAAGACCTTTGAACCTTCGAAAATCGGACCTCTGACTTGACTACAAGTTGGACCCTTGACGATCATCGCTGCAGGCAGAGGAAACTTCCGGAAAAGATTTCTAGGTATTCCTGACGACGTCAGAGAAACGTCGATTCTCTCAGGAGTGGACGGGCGTCGGTCTTCTTACCGAGCGCGGGGGCGATCAAATTGAATGTAATTCTACGACTCCCGGTTCGAGTTCGACATCACGATACCCTTTTCTTAAAACTCGAGAAGATTCATTGGCGAGAATATCCTGACAAAGTCACCGAGTTCCGCACCAGACACTGCGCTTGTGCACTGGTAGGTAGAGTACGGCGTATCCCCTGCCACGAGGTCGGTTGCGAGTGAGTAGGGAAAACGTCGAGCTGTTGTTCGGTAGACTTGTCAGAGAGTCCTCCTCGGTCTTCTTTATCAATACCGCTTTTTCTCACACAATTCTGCGCTCAGGCTCGACTAACAGTCTACTCGTATGTAGATTCGCTGAAGATCGAAGCCGCGCGCTTTCGACCGCGCAATGAGAACAGACAGGGCCAAGTCGTGATCCGTGATTTGATCACCTCCTTTTTCGAAAGGCCTACCTTCATCGCCAGAGCTGATGAGAAAGCTCCGGAGGGTGGTAGCCGTTTCTCGCCTTGGATTCGAATCACCCGAATCAAAACGGAGCGTCTCAGTTTTCCTCGTGTATCCAATCTTCTCAACTCGCTTCGTGACAGAGCGACCTGAAAGGAGCAGGATCGAGCGAGAAACGGCAATCGCCTGAAACTTGAGAACCATTTCTGTTCGGTCTCACACCAGACTTTAGAGCTAGCTGGCCAACGGCAATCATTCTCAAGAAAAGGAAGAAGTGAGAAGAAGGACTCCATGTGGGAGAAGATCGATCGGCCGCTTCTTCAACTAAGCAATTTTCAAATCGAAACGATCTGAACCCTAAACAGTGAGAAGTAGACAATTCCTCCCGGAAGGCGCCAAAACATCGGAACCTACGTCAACTTCGGAGTCGAGGTGCCGTCGCACGCGACCACGCACTCCGCGGTGTCACCACACGTCTCTATTGTGAAAACAAGCTCCCAGCGCTTCATTCGAGTAAACAGAATCTGGGTTTTCGGGAGCCGACTTGAGGACTGACAACAAGCACCGATGTGAGATCGGCGGACCGTGGAATCTGTCGAAGACATCCTCGCTTTCGGCAGGACAAAGAGGTAAAATTGATTTCTTCCTCGAACCGCGGAACTTCTGCGGACGCAAGGAATGGATCCGGAAAAAAAGCCGGACCCTCCCAGTTCTGGTTCTTCGCTGTCAAACGCTTCTGAGTACGAAACTCGAGTTCGAATCCAAGAGACGATATTTGAGCTCTTGGAATTCAGGGGCTAGGAGTCGTTGTCCCTATTCAAAAGGCTGATTCGTCGATTTTTCGTAGCTTTGTATTGAGCATGCCCTCAGCTCGATTCCGGACATGAAAGGTTTAAGATCAAATGGCTGATGGTTCTTCGCGAGTCGTATTCTCCTTTGGAACTTCCTGAGCTTGAGGAAAACTAGACCGTCCCCTTGAAGTCACATTCCTAGAGGCGCTGCGGAATCATGGCAAAGTATGAGTGTATCCGAAGTTGGAAAGCTTGACTTCCTCCTCGTCCCGAAAAGCCGAGCCTTGGCCCGCTCAGCTGGAGCTCGGGTCTGAGTTCCAGAGCCCGTTGGGTCTGTCTTCGGGGAGTTTCAAATGTCGAATAGACTTCAGAAATTTCACGGACTCGGGGAGTCGATTTACCGGAAGACGTTTCAACCTGAGCTGGCGACATTCCGAACGACTTGCATATTCTCTTCCGCGTGTCAGATTCTCTTCTCGATTCAGAAGCATGCTTTGGTCCGAACTACAGGTTTTACGGACAGCCGAGGGGTCTACACCGAGTTCTCGAGCGTCACAGAGCGCTCGCTCTCGATCAACAAGTATGTTGTTCGCGATGCGTGTCGGCTTGAAAAAGAGATTGCGAGCGCTGAGGCCAAAACCGCACAAGAGGTGAGTTCCATTGAGTCGTTAGCCGAGGTCTGGATAAATCGAAAAAAATGTGATGACGGGTCTCGAAATATGTAGATCATCTTCTCTCCCAGATCCCCTCCAGGATCCGAAGCCGATCACACTCTTTCCCCGTCTCGAAATCGGATCCGTTTGAAAAAATCGTAAGTTTATTGAGAGAATACTTCCGACCCCCAAGGCCCCTTGCAAAGTCTGCATGCTTTTTTCCGCTGAAATACAGTAGGAGCACAATGTTTATGTACGCGACCTTTACACTGACTCCCGGGACAGCGCTCTCCCTGTAGGCACAAGGAATTGCATCCGAAACAGTTGGAGACCTGGAACGATGGAAACCAGATTTTGACACCAAGTTGCGACCTCATGCCAGGGGCTGTTTCCAAGAAGGGATTCGGGGGAACGGGGAAAAAGGAAGCATATCAAACCTGATCCGGCATGGTCGCGGCTATGTAAGGCTGAAGTTCTGACAGAGCAGACGGTGTAAGCGTGACAACGTCGTTGGAACATCGCAGATACTTCTGCCTGGCGAAAAGGATCGATACGAGAAGAGTGATAATACTGAAGATGAGACTCAGAGTTGGAGCTCCGCCGGACCGACATCGACAACGGACGAGCTACAATCAGGAACGAGGAACTTACTTGATGAGTTGTTGAACCGTATTCTTCGCTTGCTGAGCCGACAACGTACAATTTGGGATGTCGACTACAGCGGATTCAGCCTGCTCCAAGTCGAGGATTCCATCAACAGATTCAACTATTGCGGTGACAATCTGACGGAAGAGAGCCATCTGCTGATCGTTGAACGTGGGATTTCGGGAAAGCTCTGACGAGAGCGTATTGCAGAGAACAAGCACTCTGTGGCCTTTCTCCTCGTCTATACTCTGGGAGAGTTTCAAGTGGAGTGATGTCAGCGTTGGATTGAGTTTGTCTGAAAATTCATCGAAGCTTGAATCGCGCATCGAGATCGAGCACAGGGACTGATGGGTCTCCGATCCTGATTGAGGTCCTCCACAACAGGAGCGCTCCGTCTGGCCTTTTGACCCATTTGCGATACTTACTGATGAATTCGAGCAAATCCGCATCATGATCTAGACTGAGATCGTAGTCGTATTTCTGATTCAGAGCGTGAACTAGAGCTCTGAAATCCGACAACGGCAAGTATCGTCGATCCAGCATGATCTGGAGGAAGGTTTGAGACAAGAATCGATGTGCATCCGCCATTCCTTCTTCACGCTCTCGAAACGGGTTGCGGAAGGAGTTACTACAAGAATCCTCCCTGAGCTCTTCTCCGCACCGGAACCATTTATGACCGCGGCAGCTGAAAGCTGATTGTCTCGGTCCAGATGATTATTTATATCGATACCGATGCTTGGAAACCGCCTTTCGTTGAATCCCGACAACTGAAGGAAGATTGAAATCACAGCACGAAGAGCACACGGAGAATCCAGCCGTCGTTGCTGATCGAATGTCGCTTGACGAAATCAGCGGCCGGCGCTTTCCCTTCTATTCATTCATCAGCTATTGTTGCGCGCCGTTCAACTCGCGGATTGGCTTCTGCTGTCTGCCACTCGAAGACGACACCATCATCATCAAAACTTTTGCTCGCGAGAATCAGCTGATAAGCTTCTATGAAAGAGAGGAGGACGTTGCTGGCCGCCGCCATGCGCGAGTGAAGCTTCTTCTGCTAGAGCCGAAGCGCCATTTTGCAGGCTGCTAGAGCTCACGGTGTTGTCAACATCTTAGGCCGCTGCTGCTGCTGCTGTCTCTCCGGCTGCCGAGTATAGAGGGTCCATCATTAGTGAAAGCGCTTTCGGGCTTCATCGTCGACAAGCACGACGTCGATGGTACCGACGGAACAAATGTGCTGGTGAGCCCTCGAGCGTCGGGCCTTCGATTGCAGCCATAGCAGCTAGTGCTCTGAGGCCGATGAGAAAATGTCTCACGCCTGAGCCCGATGAGTGAATCGAAACGGAGTCCCCAAAGGTACGCAACGATTTCCAGGAAGTGGAGTGTATTGACCTCATCCGCGTGTGTTCCCATCCGGTCGCCGAGCCGGTCGACGAGTGTTTCAGGCGACCAAACGCGGACTTCTAGAGTCTGCTGGTCGAACTACGAGTCTAGCAGCAGCACTTCTAGCCATTCGCAAGATGTGAACGAAAGGCGCTTCGGATCGCCTGTTTCGGAAGACGCACTGAGGCTTTCCGCTTCGCTTCGCATTGGATACACCGTGAGACTTCGATACACCCGTGTCCCGAATACTACAGCATCCGATGCGTGTGATTCCGCTTTCGGCTTGGCTTATCGCGATCTTCGATACGCCTTGACAAGGGGGTCGAGCAAGCAAGTTGGTAGGATCAAGCGTCTTTCGATTGTTATTCTTAGACTCCGAGGATATGACGCTGCTACGGTTGAGTTGAACCACGTATTCTCTGCAGCGATTTTCTGCGAGCTCGGAATAATACGATACAATGGTAGAAGCTCTCTATGGCATCAGCCCTCCGAAGAGATCTATCGGTTGCGGAACCCGCAGCGAGCGGTCCTCACATGCTGCAGTAGAAGAGGGGGGATATGGAGATGATTCAGAATTCTTGTGAAAGAAGAGCGCGGTGTCCCGGTTGAAAATGATGCGGCTCGAGAGTCGAATCGGTGTAGCCCTGCTCTCGAGTATTCGCTCACGGGGTGAGATCTACCGGAGCCGAAATCGTATTCTGATCAGGAACGGGAATCAATTCGTATGCCGTGATCGGTAGCGTATCCGGCAATGACGACCGAGGACTCCTGCAGCCTTCTATGCAATTATCTCTAAAAATACGTAGGAAGCATATTTTAGTCATTCAGAAGATGAATCCGCCGTTCAGACAAGCGCCCTCCACTGCGAAAATCGTGACATGGCATGCGGGCGAGACTCGATCCGTAAATCATGGCCACAATGTGCTCATGCCGGACCTTGTCCCGAACTTTCAGGATGTTCTATCCGAGATTGTGTCGAGAGAATGCCTTTACTGGCTTCGAAGCTCAATGCGAATGCTTGACGCCGTTCCGAAAAGATCCGGACACATGTTTAGGAGTGTTCGCGATTCTCCCGCGATGTGCTCGGAAGCCTGCTCTGAGTGATCGCACAGAGTCCAGTGATTCTGATCTTTCAGCCTTGGTATGGGTGGTTTTTCGCTCGCAGGATTGGAGCATCTCCCAAGGGCGGGTTTGCGAACATCCAGACTATTAGCTCTGGAGATCAAATTCTCAGTCCGATTATCGCAAAACTATGTGACTGACTGAATTACCAAGTAGGAAGCGAAAAAATTGCTCCGCCACGAAAACTCCCGGTGCGAGGCAGGCGAGCCGAGATCGGACGATAGCACGCGCGGAGTATTCCGACGGGATAATGTGCGGGCATCGGCGATACACGGCGATCGACCGCGAACGCTCGAGGAATTCCGAATGCGTTCCGGTTCTGATATTCCCCCGACGCGATCTCTCTGGCGAGCGATCAGCGCCCATGTTTACACAGTACATAATTTAAAAATTCGTAAACAAATTCTCTAGCTCCTATCGAGAGATTGCTCTTTTCTCCAGAGGTCGTAATCCGAAGATTCTTTGCCTAGACTGTTTACGGCTCCCGTGTTGAACGCATTCGACAGACCGTGAACCCTCCGGAACTAGAGCTGAATATGTACTCGCTAAAAGATATCGACCGGTTTAGACTCTCACGCAGACTGCTCGTCATATGACCGATAGAGTCTGATTGAAGCGCAGTCGATGGCGCATCGACTCTTTGGCGAGCTGCGCTTTTGAGTCGACGGAAGTTTTCCACTAATTCCGGATTTTATTCGTACATATCCGCCGTCTTGGTGCCTTATCCACCAGGATCCAGTTGCCGCGCTCTAGTGACGAGATAATCTAATGGTGCGGTCTCCTCTCTTTGCAGTAGTGGAAGTGCCAGCGGTGGGGCGTCAGGAACAAACGGAACAGATAGGGACGGCGCTGGTTCGACCAGTAGTTCGAGCAGGGAATCTTCATCGAAGGAAAGTAGATCCGAGGCCAGCAGTCATCGAGAAAATCATCATCAGAGCGCTCATTCCTCCGGGAAAGGCTCGAAAAGGATCAGAGAGAGAGAACGAATTCCTGACAAAGAAGAAAGCCGCAGAGAGCGCGAACAGAACCGAAAGATGTTCACCGAGGAATTTTGGGACTGCTCTATTTGCACGTTCAGGTATGTTGGTTCATCGCTCAAAACAGAGACACGATTGATTATCGAGCTCCGTAGCGAGCTCACGGTTTCCAATTAGGGTATTACCTCCTCGCTAAGACTCGTCTGAGGATATTCCCTCCTGGGTAATTCCTCGCTCGATCGTGCGGAGTCGGCCGTCAGTTCTCGCTCGAGTTCGATACGTTCCCGACTCCGAACCCTTCAAGTCGGCTGTTTGTACCTCCACAAGTCACGTTAACTCCACATCGCGTGGGCTAGATGAACAGCTGTATAGGGCCATGGGATCCGCGTAGAAACGAGAGAAAGCCTGGAATAGAGAGGAACCTTCGCCGACCGCCAATGACTGAAATATTTTCCTCACTACAGGAACAAGGCCGAAGCATTCATATGTGGAGTCTGTGATGCACGCAAAGGAACGTCGACCCGCAAACCCCGAATCAACCCCGCGCAACTTGTTGTGGCACAACAAGTGGCACAGCAACCGAAGCCAAAGCGGAAACGCGAGCAGAACAACAAGAAGCTCAAAAACATTGATCGCAACAACGATATACAAACTGCCATTACTGTCAATGGCCTTACCGTCGTCATAACGGGTGAGTCATCTCGACCTGATGCGCTCCTGATCCGACTGCGAGACATGAGAATCGAAATAATGAAAAGCATGACATCAGAATTCTCAATGAGAGATCTCCCGATTGCAGAGTTCAAGCCAAAAGCACCGTCTCGAAAACGAACAGTCAGCGAAAATTCGAACGGCAGCAGTGACGGCGGAGCGACGGCCCAGCAATCGGATGAAGAGTTTGAAGCACTGCCTTCGGGTACTTCCGCAGCGGAGAAATCCTCTCCATAGCTTCTGTATCGTTTACTAGCGTCTTCACGAGAAGAACCGCGATACGTAGTTCCAATCAAGTCTCAGTGGAGGGAAACCATTCCTGCGGAGGATCACATTCATCCGGAACGAAGGATTGCTGTAAAGCTGATTGACAGTACCAAAAAAACACTGCCTCACCCGAAGGAGCTATCCGATTTGTCTATTTAAGGAAAAAAACGAGCGAAAAACTCGTATCATCCATCGACGAGGGTTGAGCGTTTCGTTGGCGTGTGTTCACGCGATTTTGACGGGGTTCCGACGAGACGTCGACGTATCTTCTGCGGCTGCATCTTTCGTCCTTCTTCACAAGTGTTCTAGGCTTACTTTGTGCGCGCCTGACCCCTATCTCTGATTATTGACTCAATCAATCAATCAATTCATTAATCCATCAATTGCTTGATTGAGTGGTTGGTAGCGAGCCGTGAGAGGGGAGAGGATTCATGTTTTCTTCGGAAACTGCTCAGGGGCTTGGACTACTTCGAGTCTTCATTTTTACGTTTCAAGCGAACATTCAGCATCGCCTCTGTGATTGTTCCGATGAGAGCGATCCGGATGACGATTGCAATGATCACCGAAAATCCAAGGAACCACACCGATAGCTTGGGCGAGCTCTATCAATTGACAATTTCGATTCAGAAAGTATGATTCACTCATTCGACCCGCTATCGACATATTGTACACTTTGACGCGCATACTGTAAATAACCTTTTTTGTAAATATTTCATCACTTCGGCGACGATTGCAGCTCATTCGGTTGCGATCGCTGAGTATCTGATGAATGGAACCGTATAAAATCTGGATTCAGTTGGAAATCGTCCGTTTCATTCTGAGTCTTCCAGCGAGAAAAACTCGTCGAACTCCCGTTCTCCTAGCTCGTAAATGTTCGATGATCTCCTTCCCAGGAGCAACCATAGCTTCAATACGAGAATTCAATCAGCGGGAACGCTCCCAGATCCATCGTCTTCTATCAGGTATTACGAGTTCATCGCATCCGGCCTCAAAGAGAGGTTCTCCATCCGGACTCGATCCGGGCTGAGCTTCGACATCGTTGACCGATTCAGCGGGCCTGATCTGTGGAAGGCTCAAGGATGATTCTGCGCTACGATATCATCTTCAATTATTATTATTAGACATGATGAAAATCTTCCTGACGGAGAGCCGTCTTCGCCGTACGAGTTCCGGAGATTGATTCATGGGCGGAGGGATACGATCTGAATAATTAGACGCACCCGGTGTTCAACAAATTCCAAGAGTGTCGGCGGGTGATTCTTCGACGGCTCGCAAACCGATCGGGCAGGGAGCGTGAGGTTCGAATTTGGCGCCTCCTGAACCAAAACAAAGAGCCCGCAACAGTTGAAAAGAGCCTCGCATCTCGCATCATCAGGTGTGTTAGCCAGATGGTTTTTCCGAAAAAGATCCTTTGAACGCGCGGTTTGTGAGCTCCCGGGCCTACTTCTTCGTCTGTATTCATTGGAGAAGAATGGTCGAAACTGTCAGTCGGAGCGACCGCGGTGAAGTGAAGATCGGCGACAGTGCGTTGCGGGACCGCATAGATGAATCGAACTCACGCACATGCGAGCTCATGAGTTCGAGAGATTTATTTTGGCTTGCAATAAAAAAATTCTCGATGAGCTAGAGGCCAGTCAGGGCGGACTCTCCTCTCTGGATCCTGAGAGAATTACCAGCAATAAATACTCCCATAGGTCCATAGCATGTCGGTGGCCTTCTCATCTTCTGCTGAGGATGTTATCCAGAGAAAGCTCGATGTTCAGCGAAAGCCTGTTGCGAGCAAAGGACACGACATTGAGGAGCTTTTCGAGTTGAAAAGATGCGCGGATTGGATACGCGCGAAGGCTCTACAGCGCGTGGCGTTGCAGTTTCCAGATGAGCTCCTCGCTCTTGCAGTGGAAACAGTGAAATATCTTACAGCTCTAGTACCTGAGACAAAACTTTACATCTTGGCCGACACTTCGTTTGGGAGGTTAGTCTGAGATTATCGAGCATTAGTTCAATCGGATATGTCCAGTCCGTGACCGTCGTATTCCAGGGAAGATGCTACCGGAGAACCCATCTGTCAACCGGAGAATTTGTACATAAGAGCCTCGTTGACTTTTCCAGTTGCTGTATAGATGAGGTTGCGGCACAGCACTCGTCGTGTGACGCTGTGATACATTTCGGGCATTCATGCCTTTCTTCCCCTTCAACACTCGAAGCTCTCCTGATATTCGGTGTTCATCGAGTCGATTGGGAACCCCTCAGGAAGACACTGAACGCCGAGACGAGATACGATGATCTTTTGGTATTCGTAGATACCAAGTACTGCTCTCATCTCGGTGAGTGAGAATGTGGCGAGGAACGTCCGCCTTCTTAAGTATATTCGACTGATTACGGAGCGAGCCTCACCATGGGGAACTGTCCAACTCCGATAATCCCACAGATGCGCTAAGAGAATATCTACCGGAGAGCGCAATCATCGGCAGACCGCTCAACCCAGGAGAAGAAGAGATCGATACCCTCAAGGATGGATCTCAGATCGCATTGAGACGGCGATTTGAAACGGACAGGCCTCTCTCTTCCGAACATCCGAGACCGATACTCTGGATAGGTGAAGATAATAGAGCCCTCGAGAGTTTCATTCTCCACTTCAGCTCATGGAGCTCGATGTGGTCGTTCAATCCGGAAACCTCTGAACTGCGCCGAGAAGGTATTTTCCTCCCTCGTTTTTCTGCTCTCACCACCCCGCGTTAAGAATAGAGGAATTCGATTCGGGGTTGCAGAGAATTTTTCCATGAATACTCTATCCACACAGCACATACTACGTCAAGGAGTGATGAGTTTGCTCGACGATTGGGTCTACGAGGATTCCTGGGAAAGATTCCGCCTGATTTGCGGAGAGTCATTCACAAGCTGTGACGGAGGTCCGAACGCTGCTCAAGATTATCTCTTGAGGGTAGCAAGTCCTCGTCGAACTTCCTCATGCAGGAAACTCACTCCTCTGAGTTTTGCTTTGTTTCTCGCGACCGTCTCGCCGATGGCCCCTGAACTTATTATGTTGCAGGTTTAACGATATCGCGCAGTCTGATGCGACGCCATTACTTAGTTGAGAAAGCCAAGGATGCAGCCATCATAGGAATCCTCGTGGGGACACTGGGGGTCAAGAATTTCCGGCTTGCTATAGCGCATCTGCGATCTCTCGTGAAGAAAGCCGGGAAGCGGAGTTACACACTCGCCGTGGGGAAACTCAACGTGGAAAAACTCGCGAATTTTCAAGAGGTAATCTCAGAAGCTTCCTTGTGTAGTTCATTTACCGCGGAGTCTATCCGATGCCTTCGCTCGAATCAAAATCTTAAACATCTTCCAGATCGACATCTATGTCTACGTTGCGTGTCCTGAGAATACTTTCTTCGATTCAAAAGAATTCTATCGGCCTGTGATCACACCCTACGAGCTCGAAGTTGCACTGAATCCTAATCGGGAATGGGGCGCCCAATACTTCACCAACTTCGACGACATTCTGCCTGGTCAGTCGAAAATCATAGAGGCTTATGATCATCCGTGTCCGTTCGGGAAGCTCGACCCGCGTCGAGTTCCATGCTCAGACTGCATCTTATTTACTCTACTCTCCATTTTAAAGGCGGGTGCGCTTATGTTGAACCTCCGGACACTTTCGAACTTGATCGAGAGTATGACATGTCTCTTGTGTCTGGTCGAATCCGAGGAGTAGGAGGCGGTTCAGCGAAGTCGGCTGAGGCTCACGATGACTCTAGCTGTGGGACCCTCATCAAAAAAGAACAAACTATTTCGATAGTGCACGACGGTGGAGCAGGTAAATTGATCCTGGGAAGGAGGAGGGAATAATCCCACGTCGATTACCATAAGATGCAAGGCATCTCGTAACGGTTCTCAAATGTCCCGACCGGGTTATAACTTTCCAATTCCAGGGGATGCCCTGAGTCTACGATCTTGGAAAGGGCTGGACCCTCAGGTCGGTCAGACACCTGTGGCCGCAATGAAACAAGGAAGGGACGGGATCGCTGCGGGCTATGCTGAGGAAGGTCAGACAGTGTCGTCATCCGAGTCGAATAAAACCTGATGTCGGTACATTCTTGAAGAACTGGGATTCATCTGATTGGATGCAGATGTCTCGATCGCCAAAGCAGTCGGATTTCGAGTACTTCGGTGCCCTTCAGAATAAACGCTCCGGAATCCAGACGAGTATCGTGCTCCCTCGCCCTCGGTTCCCGGGCCAGAATAGTCGCAGGCCGATCCTGAAAAACCAAACGGCATTTTTTCGAATCTGCTGGTGGGTCGGGTGGTCCTTATCAGGGGCGCGCAGAGAATTTTTTTTTGGGGGGGGCAGACAACCAAAAATGATGACGCGCCTCTTCGGGGTCCATACTTCAACATTGAAACCGAAGAATTTCAGTGGGGCCCGTGGCCCCCTTGCCCCCCCGTGTGCGCGCCTCTGGTCCTCATATGTGTGTATTTTGGCTGAGTGGAATGGGTGCACGGATGTTACGCACTGATGTGATGCGATTCTCTATGAGGCCTTACCCTCACCAAGCATGGATCGGCAAGACAGAAGCCTCAAATAAATGAATGAAAACCATGACACTCTCGAATTTCCTCCCAAGGAACCTCGGCTCACGGACGGCTGGGGGGACTTGTGTGAGAATGAAAATGTCGAATCATGACAGCAGTTGTGAGTGTAAGCGCATAAATGCGCGATACTTGACTTGGCACAGGCTCTAAGGTCGAGCAAGATCAGAGAGTTTCCGGATTGACGACTCAGGAGGTTTGGACATCCGGTGGAACTAAGGAAGGGTGTTTCCAGGATTCTACGATCCCATGATTCAATCACAACCAACCGAGTGAATTATAAAAGACCAGATATCGATCCGAAGGGAGATCCATACCAATGAACACGCCCGTAGGGGAATGTGCAAGATACTTGAGGACTTTGGAGTCCTTCCGGTGAGCTGAGAATCGAGCCCCCTGCAACTCCTAGAACCTTGAGGGTTCTGTGCAGCGAAAATCTTCAGACGGGTTCCGAGATTGCTCAGCTTCCTGTCTGCAGACGGAGGATTGAAGGGTCCGGCCGTCCGCCGAGAGACTGAGCGAACCGCAAATGTCACTCGGGGAAGTACCGAGGCCATGAACACTTGTCAAGGAGGTCCGACGACGACATGCCAGGCGAGTTTTCCACCTTCATCAATACCAAGAAACGTCAACTTCGCTGGCATCTATTCCGAGCTCAGTAGCTCGGTGACTCGCACTTCTGATGATCCTTACCTAATTGTAGGTCAGCTCGTTATACTGTAGCCGATAGCCTTACCCGTTGCACTGTCCAGATCCCAATCTCATTCCACACGTATTTCGCACTTCAGTTGCTATCCGACCTACGGTAGATACAGCGGAAGGTAGAATATCGAGTCAGGAGGATGCACCTCTTCAATTGATGCCTCCTCTCTGAAAAACCCTCGAGACGTAGGATAAATTGATCCTCCACAGCAAAATGTTGCAATTCACAGTCCTTTCTGATTTCGGGGCAAGCCTTCACAGACCATCGCGGGCCCGCTCGAGGCCAAGGTCTTTCTACCGAGGAAAGCGGAGCCTTAGACTCGGAGGCGTTCGACCTTCGCCTCGCACATACCGGAGCTCCACCGAACGGCCTAGCACTAATGACCGAAATATTCCAAGAGAACTTGATCAAGATTGATCACGGTGTTTGAACCCATCCAGCCTCCACCTTGACCACAAGTTTCGGACGGACTCCGACAAAGGGAAATCGCTCCAAAGTCTCGATTCCCTCATCCTCCCTGATTGACGTCCTGACGACGGATAGACAAGTAGACTGACTGTGAGTGAGCAGTTTGCATTCCACGTGCAGCGGATGGGCATGGCTCCCGCGGACACTGCACCGTTCAGGGGGTTATCGATTCGCATCCAGCAGCCGCCTGATCTAAGAAGAACGGAACAATACGTGACGGAACAATACGGAAGTGGGGCCACGATCATGCCCCGCCAAATGCCGGCACTGACCGAGCCGGAAAATCCGTTGTCTGTGGCGCTTGCCTTTATTCGCCGTCTTTCTCGAAGTTTCCGCGCCTCATAGTCCTGACACCTGTGTATTATGTTCAGCGGCACGGTTCGATCCCCGACCGATCACAATCTGCATACCGATGGACCCTCCGATCGGAAGAACGAAACTCTCCTGAAGGTCTCCTGGAACTTCCCTTGGGCATCCGGTTGCCTCCGGAGCCTTGAGGCCCCACTCAGGGAGGAAAATGACGGCATCGTCAAACTGCGGGATGATATCGGTCGCATGAGATCGCCGCGCTCCGGAATCCGTCCTGGTCCTCAAAAACTCCGGAGAGTATGCACCAGAGGTTGCTTTACATCAATTTCCCAACTCCTTGGCAGAACATTCAGGTGGGGTGACTGGCCGCGAGGGAACCTAGGGTTCGTCCTTGGCCGGAATGACTCCGCGATCGGAGAGACTGTGAATCTGAAACGCTTGCATAACAATCCCGACAGTCTTCTCCCTCTTCATTCTTAATGACGAAGCAGGGGGAACACGATTAGACGAGTTTAGCATGCTTAGCGCTTAGGCAGGCGAAATCTAGAATTATGTCACGTTTCAGACCTTCACCGACTGCACACGTTCTTCCGACGATCAATTGTCAGTTCGAAGTTCTTATCATGGCTTTGTGCTCTGTGAAATTCGGATTTCTCATCCCGAAGACTTCTCACTCTGAGTTCTGTGGCCCGCGCTGGGCTGACTACAGCGCCGTTTGCCAATATGGCCGCCCCTGTTGCGCTCTGAAGAAGTGTCATCGCGACGTTTCCGATATTCCCACCCTTGACGGCTCGGCCGGCTCATCGCGTAGGATCAAAACCATCGTTTCGAGCGATACGGAGTTTTTCCTTTGCGAGAAGGAAATAAGTCCAGAGTCTGCGTCATGTAAGAGTCAGAATCCGATACAGATTCAGAAGTCAAAAACAAATATGGCGGCGCCCATATCGCGGAAATACGTAAACAATGGCTGAAGATAACACCATTGACATCGAGGGAGACTTTTCGCTCGATTCTACGTGAGTTTGCAATCATTTTAGGCTTAGATTGAGTCACACTAAGCCCTCCGACGATCGGCAAGGGATGACTGTCACTTTGAGGAATTCTAACTGTACTAATTCTCAATGGAACGTGTTTCAGAACCTTCAGCGAAAGTTCATCTATCCTCCAAAATGAGTTCAAGCCATTGTGGATCCTTGACCCTGACATGGTAAGCATACCGCGCCTGTGAACTGTCATGACTCCTCGAGGGACGTATGATCATCATTCGGTGTATGAGGTCTCTTTGGACTAATCGAGACTCTCTCCATTGAATCAGTCCGCAGAGCAACGCAATGAGATCGAACGAATTCTCCTGGAAGACAGCAACTCGTCTCATCGTTGTTCATTTCTCGACTCGCCCTCTGGCAGATCGTGCTGGAGTCCTGAAGAGGAAGAAACTCTCCTTCGACTATTGGACGAGCACGGCGAGAAATGGACGAAGATCGCGAAGGAGTTGAACCGGAGCGGGCTAGAAGTGAAAGTGCACGCGAAGAAAATCATTTCGCTCTCGGGTCGGCAGACGTCCCGGAGGAACGATATACGCGGTAGGAAAATGGTGAAGCGACGAAACACGTCTGTGGCCTTGACATTCGAAGAGGGACCTTCAGTTTCAAGAAAAGGCTCAGAACTACAGAATGCAGGTCGGTAGAAATCCCCAATACGCGCCCGGGGATCACCGGACCCTGGTATATCGGAAGAATGCTCCTTGAAGAAAAAAATTTGTTCAGGCGAATTAGTGACCATCCGTAAGAGCGCCGATGACGAGGACGAAGAGATTCAGGTCGACGATGGTGATGATCCGGTGCAGAAGCGGACCGCTGCGCCGTCCGGAAGACCACTCAGTAAATCCAAAATCGACATAGAGAAACTGGTCTCTGTGAACACTAATGCTTTCAGACGGGTGAGTGCCCTGCTCTTTGGAGGATAAATTAGATTTGAAAATCGCGCGTATGCCATTCAACCGGGAGGATTACGGTACTCGCCCCTCCGCAGGGAACGTCGTCGAATAAAATTCTTTCGATCTTCCAGATGCCCTGTGCAGCAGCGAGCGCTTCGACGTCGAGAACTCAAGTTCCGAACGCGGAGCTACTCCTCGACCCATACCGAATCCTCCCGTTTGAGCAAGAAGCCAACCCTGACTACTTTAACGGAAAGAGCGCACAAAAAAACCCAGACCGCTATCTTAGAATCAGGAATCACATCCTAGTACAATGGAGGAAGCAGAAACCGAATTACCTGAACAAAACGACGTCAAGAATAGGTTTGAAGAATTGTGGTGACGTTAATTGCATCGGTTTGATCCACGACTACTTGGAGAAGATCGGTGCCATAAACTTTGGATGTGAAAAACCTACGAACAAAGAAGATAAGCGAGGAACAATTAAATCACCTCCGGCACCGCCGAACACTCGGAAGCGCAGGAAAGTCAATCCGTCGTTCGTCAGCCAAGCTGACATACAAATCGGCGGATGTACGATGGAGCACGATAGCGTCACCGGAGAAGTTATATCCAAGACATTGATAACGAAGGAGGCTCAGGGTGAACGTTCCTCGAACTCAAGACCGGCGCACCCTTTGAAGCTCGTGACTTGTCTGCGCTACGACGGGGGCTGTCAACCATTCAAGTGCGTTACTTTTGTGTCTTAGCTCTAGTTTTCGCCTATCCGACGCCACTCACGAGGAACATGATCGGCTGATAATTTTCTTTGACCCATTCGCAGCGTTGAAGTTCATGCTTCATCGCTTCTCGTCGCTCAAGCGCACGCTCACCAATCCACGTCCGAAGTGATGGGCTTGCTTGGGGGACACCATCAAGAAGGCCATCTGCGCGTGATAGCAGCCCTCCCGACGAAAGCTGTGGCCAGTGGCCAGGAGTGCGACATGGACCCAGGTACGTTCACGCGTGTTCTCAGTCGAGGGCTCGATCGGTCTCTCATCCAGATGTGGATTACGAGCATATCGCTCTTACAGTCAGTCAGTGGGAGGCTCTCGAGACGTTGCGTGGATGGGGTTTGGATGTAGTAGGATGGTACCATTCTCATCCGAACTTCGCGCCGCAACCATCGATGCGAGACCTCACTTCGCAAGTGGATATGCAAGATATGTTCACAGGGGCCGGCGCTCCGTTCGTGGCTCTAATTATAAGTCCGTACCACAGGACCGATAAGGTGAGCATTTTGAGGAAGGATTGTGTGGTATTCGTCGCAGACTCGCACAGGGGGCTGAAATGATGAATTCAACCATTTTCTCCGTAGATGGCGAATCGGCTTAGCGCTTGCATGACCTGTTTCGTAGTTGAGAAGCATCACATCACTGCCGAATATTGCCCATTCTCACTGAAGCCACGGATAGTACGCGGCGAAGCCTCGGTTGGACCACCGCTGGAAACGGTGTTGGAGCTCATACGGAACCTCCGAGAGTCAACGGGTGATCTTGTTGAACTGGATGAGAGATTCAACGATGAATGGACGTACAAGGAGAAGGTGCGATTCGTCTCCTGGGAGACTTGTTCTATATTCCTTCCATGGCCTCAATACAAAAAAAATCGTTCGGGACTACTAATCGAGAATAAACAATGCATTCAACTTCTCCGCAGATGTTAGCAATGCTACAACTATGTTTGATGAAGGCCAGGTACAATCAAGCGGAGACAGCCACTCTGCTGAATCGTATTCATGCGATGTTCCCCTCGAAATGAGAAATAGTGGGACGGAGCCGGGACGTGGAGTCGCGCTTCATGTGCACAAAGCAGCTCAGTGTCACTCGACCCGATCGACGATGTTTTTCCCTCATTGAGCAAATTGTTAAATTCCTGAATGCTGTAATAAAACACAACCTCAAAGAATGTTCCGGTATGTCCCGGGTATTCACTCACTCAGGCAGCATGATTCCTGATCGGAGCGATCATTTTCCGATCACTCCTGGAACTCCTGGTCACTATAGCCTGCCTCGGATAAACTACTTGAGGCGATCTGCCATGACCCGTGAATAATGATAACGATACACAGATTTCGTTTCCTCGTCTGCAAATTCACACGGAATGGAGAATAGGTTCCCTCATGGGCTGCCATCTACGAAACAAGAAGTTCGCTCTCGATGAAGTGCACACGGGTCGACTCTAATACTCGCCGAGGCTCTGACGCCACACTGCGAATAAGCTTGCGCACGTTCCGGAGGATTTTCTCCGACCATGACAAATGACCATGTCCTGACGATACCATGATGCACACTGGACCGCTGCAAGGGAGAAAGGGAGCAGGACCTCTTCCAGAATATCTTCCCTCCGACTCCTCTTCTATAGCTGCTTCCGATCAGCTGCTGAATAGGTCCGTGAAAACACAGGCTCCGAGGTTCACGTCTACGAGTCGAACATTTCCGTCGGAGTCATCGATTTGCGGTCCGAGTACCAAATGCACGATCCATTCTGATACCACCGGGGGTCGGTCTGGATTAGAATTCCATCATCGAATGTCATGCAACTGCGGGAAGTTATCGAGTCCCTTTCTTTGGGAAATCCTCGACCTTCTCGTTGCAAGGCCGCCACGTTCTCGAAAGTTTTTTTATCAGCAAGATCAGGGATGACCCGGATAACTCAAGCTTGGAAAGGGAGGTCGGAAGTCGAAGGCGCTGTGGGAGCTACACGAGGAGGTGGGAATGAAATGAGTACCGGGAATACACTTGCATCCGCAACCCTCGAAACCCTTGGAACTACGGAAGCATCCTCCTCTGGAGAGATCTTGGGGACAACACATTTGGGATCAGGGAGCGCAAGAGGGAATTTAATGAGGAACGAAAAGTCGACCACTCTGGGGCAGACAGGGTCATATATTCATATTCATGAATATGAACAAATTCACAAATCACAAGTCTGTGAGCTTAAATATGAATATGAATCAATTCATAAATGGTCTATGAATTTCCCATGAATTCCAATAAGACTGATTTCCCGACTCGATTCGTTCAGAGTCGGCTTGAAAATATTGGTGGAACGAACGTCGAGGGGTCAGAATCAATTGTATGATGATTTCATCGCTGGAGACGCTATCTGAGCAGGCATCTCTCTGGCGGGGAGCGGACTCGGGAGGCAGACTCCTATTAGATTTTCTCTTATAATCAGTTTTAGGCCTTGATGATTAGAACGACATTCATCAGTCTCGTCTTTGGGTGCCGTAGGCTGATCATCTATGACTCTCCTCCGAGGAGAAGGCTGGAATCATGGTCATAATACGATTCATAACTACGGAAACCCCGAAATTCACAGATTTCCGGGAGTTCATACCGTGAATAGGAATTTAGCCTCTCCTGCCCCGACGCGGAGGGATATCGATGGCTGACAGTCAACTGATGCCGCGCGATATCACCGGTGATGCGGCGCACCAAAGAAATCGCTGCAGTCTTCGATCTCGGGCTCCTCTCCTTGCTCTTCCCGGCAAAAGCAAACCGCAGCCAGACAGGGCTCTATTGGCTCGGGGAACCGTGCGAAAGAAAGCTATCTCGCGCCGAGGAATGTTCCCGTCGTTGTCCTTTTCCCCGAACTGACCCTCGGAGATCGAGGAGCTCCCTCAGCCCCCTGAAGATCTTTAGGATCTAGAATCCAGTGTATAGATTGCTTGTGCGGGAGGATACCCGGGTTCAGAATCGCGACTGGAAGTTCGCCGAGTCAGCACCAGCATTATGTCGGTAAGGAGAGCGAGACACACAGGTTTCACTTTCAACGACAAAGGATTCCGACGACCGCCCATCACGCAGAGAACCATTCATGGAAGACTTTCGCGATGACTGCATCATGTTTATACTCATGCATAAGTATATATAGCATCATCAATTATTTCATATGTTTGTTTCATAATCACCGTAATTGGTGATAGAAGAGTGAGGAGTCCCTGAATACAATGGCAAAACATCAATCCATACATCTATCCATACATATATTCCCCTTGAAAGACGCAATTGCTCGAGCAAGTTCCAAATTGATTCGCAAGGTCCAGGCAAAGCTGCCTCTTCCGGAGGGCACAAGTCTTGTTCCCTATAATTCTGAGCTGCGTAGGGTCACCATGCATGGCCGAATCCAGAAACACATGTATGGATCATTCAATTGGGCTCGCGCGCGTCATTTCAACCGCGATAGCAGCACGTTGAGATCGCCACAGCAAAATAGCGTGGCAGAGATAGAGCATCCTACGTCGGTGCGCTTCGGGGTAGAAATAGCGGCAGAGAAGGAACCTGAGGCGGAACGCATATACTTCTGCGACACAAGTGAAGACCATGAAGACATAGATTCCCAGAATCAGGCCAGTTTTCCCAGAGTCGTGTCCCGAGACGAGACAGACAGCCGTGTCCACATTGCTCGAGACCCGACTCGAACTCACAAGGTATCCCAGGAATGATCTCATGAACTTGGCTACGATACCGATCCCTACGACTTGAACGCTCAGATTTTGCTCCGTGTTATACACGCCAGACAGTCGACTCTCTTCTTTCATTACTTTCAAGACGTTCGCCATCAAATGGTTGACGCTGAGCGCACATATGCCGAGGACCACAGTCAGCCAAACCTTCGAGAAAACAAGACGCTCAATGCCATGCCACTCATTATCCAGCGGTTTCGGTGTCCAGAAGGTTGCGACACGTTTCAAGTCCTTCTCATCCAGCCTGAGACCCGATTGCTCGCTGAATTTTCCAAAATCTCCGTAAACGTAGCAGTTGTGGAAGCTGGGATAATGTTGGTATTTATGAAGGAAGCCATAAATGACGACGAAACAACAGGGCGTTATCAGCAAGAGAGCTATTTCTAAGATGTTACCGAGAAGAGCAGTACGTGCCCTATATGTTCTGAGGTAGTTCGAAGCTTCGTTGTAAGCGTCATCCAGAGTGGATCTCTCGGTGTTCACTCCAGCGATATCGAAAGAATTGTTCCGCGCGAACCACTCGGGAAATTTTAAATTATCACACGCATGGAATTGATCAGTGACTTTCTCAGTCCCGCAGAAGTCTTCAGTCAACATGACGATGATTGGCCGACAAACCTCTCGGCAAGTCTCTCTAACCACACCCGGGCCCCAATCACAGAGCGGCCAAGAGTCGTGAACTTTTTCTACGCAACGGAGATGGGCCAGGAACAGCAGTATCTCGCAGCGGACCCGGAGATCGCCCTCAGCACCGCCTGTGAAAGATAATTTCGCTCTTTTGCTGTACGCTTCGGTTCGAGCGGATGATTCCGTCCGCGATTCGGGAAAAGATATCGGTTCGATAGGCAGCTTGGACGTGAACCTCACCCAAGTCTTTGGTTGTGCGCAGCTTGTTCACCCAGTTCTGGTATTCGCGGTAGGTGATGCGAAGATAGTCCAGCTGGGTTACGCTTATATTCAAACTCAGAAAATTAAACCCGAGGTCTTGGGTCAAAGGCTCAGAGCTGGTCACGTCAAAGACCCACGACATGTCCGACTCGGTGTAATTGAACACATCATGCCGGTCTTTACTCATTATATCCGAGAAAACTTTGAATGCCGGATCGAAGCACAGTTTGTAGGAGTCTGCAGAAAAAGGGGATGGGGTTCTGCTCGAGGAACTTGAGGTCATCGGTTTCCTCAGTTTTGAGCGCGGACCTCGTTCGAGAGACTCACCGATAGTGTATTTCAGGAAAAGCTTTATGAAACATATGCACGTTCGCAGGAAGATATCCAAGTTCAAGAGGAAATCGGTTATTGGACCAGTCAACACTTGCTCCAGAGCGTACACCGCTAATATGACGCGCCCCGATTTGGTGACTATGGAGGGCACCATAAGATACATGGAGCGGCAAACTCGTGTACTCAGAAAACTCAATATAGAAACTCCGGTCGCAAAAATCAAAATCTGTTTGCGGCTGAATCTTCCAAGTGACATGACAAGAGCCGTGAGACCGGAGAGGACCATCGATAGGAAGCATTTCGTCAGGATTCTACCCATGGCTCTATGTCGTTGTCAGCCTTGAACAGATAGCTGTGCGATGCTTCTTCGCGCCTCGGACATCAACGCGCAGACTCGGTCTGACCGCG